ATTCAGTCCACATATTGAATTTCGACTTCAAATAATGAGAAACGATATTAATTCGAAAAAAATTGCAAAAGACTCTGGTACACTTGGTTAATATAGCTTATTGGAATAAGACAATAGTGTAAAGCCCGCGATTAGACTTCTTCCAATTTTTGCCCTCAAAATAATAGATTCACGGAATAAGATTGCCGAATGCTAGATAACATTCATTGATGTTAACGACAAATGTTACATTCTTTTTCCAAACACATACTGATTTCGCGGCTTACGAAGGTATTGTTTTATAAAGTGTCCCGTTTGTCGTAGTTGATGAAAGTTACTTACTCGGCGTACAACATGCTGCTACAGAGTAAGTCATCGGAGTAGAACACATGCGGAGAATAAGTTGTATTAGTTCCTTCGTCACACAATGAAAGAATTAGGATAGAGACAATAGAAAACGAATTATTGAAACAGCGCAGTAAATTATGTACCATGCAAACACAATAAATTTCAAACGCTCCTGTGAGATCCAGATAGTGCTTCCAACGGAAGGACAATGATTATGCAAGGTTTTCTTTGATATAAATAGCGATTGGCCAAATTTGAGCAACGACGCCAGGAAGATGCTTGTGGTGATCATGGCACGTTCATTGACGCCTGTTGAGATTACAAGCGCCTATATTTTACCCATGAATTTGGAATCTTTCAAAGGTGTCAGTATCTATGTAGAAATACATTATTGGCACAAACGTAAATTAAAAACAGTACTCGGTACACTGAGTAATTCGCCATCGATTTGGGAAAAGTCAGTTCCCCCAATTTTGTATAATTTTTGTATAATTGACTCAAATATGACTGTCAATCTTCCAAACTATTCTATCCTTTGTAATAGATGGTCATTGTTTGAAAATTTGCAATTAACAAAGAAAATTCAGTCCACATATTCAGTTTAGACTTCAAATAATGAGAAACGATACTAATTCGAAAAATATTACAAAAGACTCTAGTATGCGTAGATTAATACAGCTTATTGGAATAAGACAATAGTGTAAAGCCCGCGATTAGACTTCTTCCAATTTTTGCCCTCAAAATAATAGATTCACGGAATAAGATTGCCGAATGCTAGATAACATTCATTGATGTTAACGACAAATGTTACATTCTTTTTCCAAACACATGCTGATTTCGCGGCTTACGAAGGTATTGTTTTATAAAGTGTCCCGTTTGTCGTAGTTGATGAAAGTTACTTACTCGGCGTACAACATGCTGCTACAGAGTAAGTCATCGGAGTAGAACACATGCGGAGAATAAGTTGTATTAGTTCCTTCGTCACACAATGAAAGAATTAGGATAGAGACAATAGAAAACGAATTATTGAAACAGCGCAGTAAATTATGTACCATGCAAACACAATAAATTTCAAACGCTCCTGTGAGATCCAGATAGTGCTTCCAACGGAAGGACAATGATTATGCAAGGTTTTCTTTGATATAATATTTCTTCCTGGACTATATTTTCACGACACGCAATTATTTTCACTATGAGTTACTACTTATTAGTTTGTTACAGAAACCTGGCAATCTACTGCGAAATACTGAACGAACCGGCAGCGTTTTTGCGATCGTAGGACTTTATAATAATCTGATAACTATGAAGGAGTTGCCAGTGTTCGACTGGATACCACACGATTTATTCTCCCACAATCTCCACACGATTCTCTGCTGTATCAAACAGTCGGTATGTTGATATGTTCAAACAAATGATTAGGAAATGATTTTATTGTATTTGCGATTCTTGTAACACTATTCAATAATATTTGAAATGGGTGGTTATTTTTAGATCTTAAAAAGAAATAGAAAATGATACTACTGAAAAAATATAATAAAATGAAATGCACTATATTTGACGTTCCTGAATATCTATTAGAATATATTTTCAGAAGGTAAACGCGATTATATTTCCATTGAAAAGAAATATTTTCATAGAAATAGTTTCGCAATTACCGATCTAATCATCTCTCTATCGAATATTCTGCTTCTTCGGTCGCTAAACACTTCCTGTTCTGCATTTGATTTGCCTCAACAAAGAAATCAAAGAACTATCTTTCTCTAAACTCACATGAAATTTACTAAACATGATTTACTTTTACAACACACACATCAATACTTCAATACATCAATAAATCATTTCTCGTTCTTCTATCTTTTCTGATCGCCATAAAAATGGGCAATTGACTCTTTCATAAAACTGAATGTGGACATTGGTTCTACAATCTTCTTACTTCTTAATCTTTTTAATGAGCAAAAGTGTTACTTATGTATATAACACTTTACACGTATTTCACTACTTATCAAACATGTAATAATGAGTTAAATTTTTAATTATCATTCGCTCAAAAATTGTTCATAACCAAATTGCAAAGTAAATTGGACAGCTTAAAGCAGATAACCCTACCTCAGTCTATTCCCCCTTTCGTGCACCGAAACTCCCGGATTCCTATCCTGTAAGCACCCATGATTAAAAGTTGTCTTCCGTGCTCGACTCCTGAAATGTATAAGTTCGCGATAAAAAGTACCCTGGCGGGCAGTAATATAATTGCACGTTAGAAACTGTGGAAACGTCGTCATTAAAGATGTAATCGCCTAAGGATGTACCTACACTACTCGGCACGATGCCGAGTTCAAGGTAATCAATCAATTAGAATGTAACTTGTCAGTTAAATGACACACGCTATGACGTTTAGTGCCACCACAGCATGTATATTTCAATCCAATGAAATAAGCGGAAGCTGGAAATGGAAAATAGAGAGAAACGACCACTCTATAATAATGGTTTTTAAAAATGTAATTTCTTGCATCGTCGCAGCACGGTAACATCGATAATGACGATAATTACACGGGGGTAAATTCCAAGAAGGAGCTATTCCATTTAAGGCAGCATAAGCATTTCGTTTCCTTAGGGTTGTTAGTAGCATCTGATGCTTCGAACGATACACTTACTTCAAAGATCATCTTTATTTTCATATTCTCATCTTCGATGTTACATTTGATTGGAAATACCTTTTTCTTTTGATCAATTAAAATATACCGTAAAAAAATTCTGCTAGTGAAGACTGATAGTATAAGACCTAATTGTTCGAAGGTACTTGATCGTTCGATCTTTCCTAACGCGAAGTTTAAGTAAGACAAATCATACCGTAAATATTGAAAATGCACGTACTACGATGGACATTCAAACTTTTCATCGCCAGCGGATATTTTCTACCGCCCACGTTGAAGTCTCCGACGAAACGCTTTCTGTATAATTTATATACAGTCTTCATGACGTTGTACATGTGGAGCTACTCCCTCACGCTAATCATGGAGATTTGCTACAACGTGGAATCGCAGGACGATTTGAGTGAGAATTTTGGCATAACTGTCACGGCACTTATCACCAGTTGCAAACTTATGAGCTTAGTCATAGGGCGAAAAACTATCATAAATATGTTGGATCTACTCAAGAAGAAGCCATTTGTACCAGAGAACAATGGGGAAGTACAAATTCACGCGAAATACGACAATCTAATCGAGTAAGTTCTTTCTGTTCGCTATGGTATGTATAGTTGTAAGAAAATTATTTAAAATATTATTTCTTTCCTTCTTTCTTTTTTCTAGAAAAGTCGCGATGTTCTATACAATCCAAGTCACATTTTGTGTGCTTGCTTTAGTAGGAACGACATTGGTCAGTAACTTCAAAGTGAAAAAATTAATGTTTCGCGCTTGGTTTCCTTTCGACTTCACCTCCTCGTGGTTTGCGTTTTCTATGACGTTCATCTATCAGTTCGTAGGTTTAATGATCATAGCCACTGGCGTCAGTATGTTCGATACGTTTTTCGCTGGCCTGTTGCTTCACATCTGTTGTCAATTCGAGATGTTGATGGATCGCTTGCACCATATCGGAGGAAATGAAATTGAATCGTTAAAAAACTGCGTTCAGCACCATAACACGATATTCAGGTTTGTTACCTGTGTGCTTTTATTTAATGAAAGTTTAACGAACTAACGAATCTAATTGAAGATTACGGGAGAAATCGAAATAAGTTGTATTTTTATTGATTTCTTATTTTACGGCTAAAAAGCTAAGGGTATTAATACTATTTTGATATTCTAACAAGCATATCTCAGAAATAACGAAGGGGGTTGAAAAATATACATATGTCGTGTCTCGAAAACCAATAAAAAGAAATTTTGATAACGCACGATTAATCTACAACACTGCATTTTAACACTGCTCGGCTGTCACAAAGTGGGAAACGTGATTTGTTACTTTTCTTACCTGAAATCTTCAATTAAAGAAAACAGTGAAATAACACTTATCTCAATTATTTCAGATTCGCCGAAATAGTAAACAATTTTTTTAACAAAATGATGTTCGTGCAATTTATGGTAAGCACAGTCGCGATATGCTTTACTCTCTATCAACTAACAGAAGCAAACGACAGTTTGCAAATAATTGGATGGACATCGTTCATGTTTTCCGCTTTAATTCAAACTTTCTACTTTTGTTGGTTCGGAGATGCAGCGAAAGTAAAGGTAGATACATACACACATAGATATAAAACGAGCTACCGTTTCTTCTTAAATCAATAATTTGTGGACTTTTTATCTCTGTAGAGCCTCGATATTTCTAATATGTTATATCATAGCGATTGGCCAAATTTGAGCAACGACGCCAGGAAGATGCTTGTGGTGATCATGGCACGTTCATTGACGCCTGTTGAGATTACAAGCGCCTATATTTTACCCATGAATTTGGAATCTTTCAAAGGTGTCAGTATCTATGTAGAAATATATTATTTGCACAAACGTAAATTAAAAACAATACTCGGTACACTGAGTAATTCGCCATCGATTTGGGAAAAGTCAGTTCCCCCAATTTTGTATAATTTTTGTATAATTGACTCAAATATGACTGTCAATCTTCCAAACTATTCTATCCTTTGTAATAGATGGTCATTGTTTGAAAATTAGCAATTAACAATGAAAATTCAGTCCACATATTGAATTTCGACTTCAAATAATGAGAAACGATACTAATTCGAAATATATTACAAAAGACTCTGGTACACTTGGTTAATATAGCTTATTGCAATAAGCCAATAGTGTAATGACCGCCATTAGACTTCTTCCAATGTTTGTCCTCAAAATAATAGATACTCGGAATAATACTGTAAATATTCTACAAAATAATCTTACGTGGATTGCCGAATGCGAGATAACATACATTGATGTTAACGACAAGTGTTACTTTTTTTCCAAAAAATATACTTATTTCGCGGCTTATTAACTAAAATTGCTTACTAAAATTGTGTTTTATAAAGTGTCCCGTTTGTCGTAGTTGATGAAAGCCACTTACTCGGCGTATAACATGCTGGTACAGAATAAGTCGTCGCGGTAGACCGTATGGAGTGGATTCAGCATATCCTTTCGTTCCTTCGTCACACAATGGAAAAATTATGATAAGGGAAACAAAAAACGAATTATTGAAACAGCGTAGTAAATTATGTACCATGCAAGCACAATAAATCTCAAACACTCAAGTGAGGTCCAAGTTATAACAGCGAGATTTTCGCGAATAATTTTCCACATTATTTTACTAAGAATTTTCAATAATTTCAGAGCAAATCCGATTCAATGACTACTAATTGAAAAGACCAAAGACTTTATACCTGAATTTTTCTATCGAGTTACGATCAGATGGCGAAGGACTTTCCATTTGTTGTGTAATTTGTTTCAACGAAACAATACAGGACAATAAGAAGCATCTTCTAAACAGAGAGTAATACATAACGTGAAACACTAGCACACGATCTAGTTTAAAAGCGTTCTTATATTATACACGTCAATAAAGCTTAGAAACAGTAGTGCAGAATTAATAGAAGTACGTCGTTGCTGAAGCTATCTGCATTTCTTTCCCCGTTCATTTTTTTCTTCTCGAAATAAAAATAATCGTTCTTGGAACGACTGACTCTGCACGACGCAACGGTCTGTAAAATGACAATTTCAAGGTAGTTAAACCTAATTTTAATAAGAAATGTGAAACGCGGAAATAGGGGACGAAGCTACTTCAACGTTTTCAGAGGTATTATACAGTATGTCGTATCGTTGCATCATTAACAAACATAATGATATAGAACGTTTTACAATGGGGTAAGTGTTCCGCAAGAATATGAGTTCTATTAATACGATATATGAACTCGTCGATATTCGGAGATAGCCAGTGATATCGAAGACGTTTAGAATTATATTCCACACGACACTCCTTTCATTCGTATTCATGCAATTTGTGTTTCACTATATCATCGAGAAGTCATTTATTTTACTTTAATAAAGTAAATGGTTTATTTTTCTATTGTGACGAAATAATTGGTGTGAACGATCACTACGTTTTATCTAAATTTTTTTTTTTCAATAAACAAATTAGAAACGATGTAAAATCCAAGTGGACACGCAAAGAAGAATTTTACGTCAGCTTTAGCCGATGAATTCCAATAAAAATGACTGTGCGCACGCTACAATTTTCACGTGTTCTACTTTCGATCGCCGGTTGTTTGCCACCAAGTTCGTGGACATCACCGTTCACAAAATCTTTGTACAAATTTTACACGTTGTTCGTGTGGCTTCTAATATTGTCTCTCGTGTCCGCTCAGATTTTAGATATAATTATAAATGTGGAAAATCAGGACCAATTCAGTGACAACTTTTACATCACTCTCGTGGTATTCGTCAGCGGCTGCAAATTGAGTATCATCTTAAAGCATCGTGAAAGTATCTTATCTTTGATCGAGAGCCTCGAACGCGAACCTTTCTCGCCGATGAACGACGAAGAAGAGAAAATTCAAATGAAATTTAACAAAACAAACGAGTAAGTACCTATACGTACTGCTTTTCAGAATGGGCCAGGAACAATGAACATTTTTCACATTTTCGCGGGCAAGGATAAAATTAATTTTTGAATGCATGAAAAGCAGAGATTTAAAAAAAAAACATTTGTTTAATTTCTTTCTGTCGCTGCTTGTTGTCAGACAAGAGAAATGCTGTTGAAAAATGTGGTAATTTTGGTTAAGAAAAAATTAACATAGACAGGAAGGGTTTGATGTGAAAGAAACAGTACGCCAGTGAGCCAAATTTTCCAAAGGATGAAAACGTTAGATAATTAAAATTAACATTTTTACAGACGAATTGCGATTTGTTACACAATTCTGGTGGAGGTGGCTGCGATATGGATATTCGTAAGAGCATTCCTCACGGACTTCAAGAAGAGAAAACTAGTCTTTCGAGCTTGGCTACCGTACGATTATTCGGAACTGTTGCCATACACGTTCAGTTACGCTTACGAAGTTGTCACTTCGTTGCTGTGCTCTTGTCAAAACGTTGCTAGTGACACGCTATTCGCTGGCTTGCTGATTCAAATTAACGGCCAGTTCGAAATACTCGAGGAACGTCTGAGAAACATCGAGGAGGACTCGAATTATTCGGCGAAGCAGTGCGTCAAACATTATCAACAAATTTACAAGTTCGTGTCGAATTTATCATCTATTATGTTGTGCAATAAGTTCGTTTGCCTTTACGTGCGAATTTATTACACATCGAACATTTTACCAGCTTAAAAGGACAGCAAACAGGTTTAATAAAACTTATTAACAAAGCATATGCTGAATTGCTACAGATTCTCTAAAACGGTGAACGAGAAATTCAAAATAATACTTTTCTTGCAATTTTGTACGATCGCATTTACGCTATGCTTTAATCTCTACCGAATGACCAACATAACGATGCTTTCTAAATTTCTGGAGGCGTCGCTTTTCCTAGTTCGCATTATAGCGCAGATACTGTATTATTGTTGGTTCAGTAACGAAGTGAAATTGAAGGTTCGTTATCGAAGTAGAAGAACAAGACAGACATAAATATACCAATTTTTGGTTAAATGTTTCGTGCAATATCTTTTCACTGCAGAGCCTTCAGGTGCCTGCCATGATATTTAAGAGCAATTGGGCATCGTGGGATACGAAAACAAAGAAGATTCTCTTAGTGATCATGACACGAGCGACACATCCTATAGAATTTACGAGTGGCTACCTGGTAACATTGAACATCGATTCTTTCGTAGCGGTTAGTATTTAAATGTATATTACGAAATATTCCATTTCCATCAGCGTGCATAATTATCTGTCGAATTATTTCTCTTAAAAGAGCACGTTTCAAACTGAACTTTCTTCTTTGTATATTTTTCGCTACACGTTTCCTTCGAATAACGCATAGCTCGAGAGGGAAGTAATCAAAGTGAGCAAATTGAAACGATACACCGTGGATAAAAGCCTATGTATTACGTCTGACTTTATAATGCGACATTCTAAAATCAATGCAAAAATCGTTGCTTCTTTATTACAGCTGATGAAAACCTCATACTCAGTTTTTAACTTGTTGCAACAAACTAAATGACGATACGAAGTGAAAGAGCAGCGGATCTTGACATTATATCTTTGGATTTTTCTGGATGAGTACGTTCTGCAAGTGTACCGAGGCATGTAGAGTACATAGCAATAAACTTTATATCGTGAAATGCTAATCCATAAATACTTGCCTGATCATAGAGGAAAATACGTTAGACGTTGGTCCTTTCTCACCTATTGGAAAAGCATACGCGTACGATGCTCCACTTTTCAGTAAAAATTCTCTCAACCAATTTATGGAAACTATCTCCCGGTCGTTCCGTTTTATGAAACACTATCGGAGGTAAATATTTGCATCGCGTCAGCTCGCAACAGAGGATAATTTGAAGGGACGCGGACGATCCATTATTATTTCAACAATAATTATACATACGATGACACCGTGTAACACGTTACTTTTACAATAACAATACGTATCAGCAAAGGGTAAGTTGCAGTAGAAAATAAGTCTATCGAAGGAAATAAGAGGGAATTGATACTTTACAATCGTCACTCACGTTTCAAACTTGGAACAGAAGCTGCTCAAAAGTGGTATATAGGCCTGTTCTTTCTACATTTTCGATCATTTCTTTATACAATTACTATACCTATTAGTATAATAAAGTAAGAGTCAGTTAAATAAAAAAGTACGTGATAATAAAAAATTGTCACTTCAACGATACATATAATGCGGTGAACATTTTTGCTGCTCTCATTATGTGGCTGCTTTCCACCCCCTTCGTGAAAAATACCCCTCAAAAAATTTTTGTACAAGATTTATACAGTATTCCCATTCCTGTTCCTGAATAGTTTAGTTGCTGTTGAATAATTTATTCAAATATTAGATCTAATATACAATATAGAAAAACATGGAAGATTTCAGCGATAATATTCCGGTGACGGTGATACTGTGTCTCCACAACCCCCAAAGTTTTCATTTTCATTTTACTGATATATCGTGAGAACTTCCTATTTTTTTTTTAATAAACCTGAACGAATCGGCGGCGTTTTTGCGATCGTGAGTCTATATAATGATCTGTTAACTATGAAGGAAGTACCGGCGTTCAACTAGATGATGTGCGATTTATTCTCACACAATTCCTACACGATACCTGGTATATGTCGATATGTTCCAGCAAATGATTAGGAAATGATTTTATTATATTTCGCGATTCTTGCGACACTATCCAATAATATTTGAAATGGATGGTTATTTTTAGAACTTAAATAAATAGAAAATGATACTACGGAGAAGACATAATAAAAAAAATGCACTATATTTGAGTACTATATTTGACGTACCTGAACATCTCTTGGAGTATATTTTCAGAAGGCAAACACAATTTTATTTCCATTAAATAGAAATATTTTCATAGAAATAGTTTCGCAATTACTATTGTAATCATCTCTCTATCGAATGTTCTGCATGTTCGGTTGCTAAAGCTTTCCTGTTCTGCGTATGATTTCCTTCAACAAAGTACATCAAAGGACCATCTTTCTCTAAACTCACATGAAATTTAGTAAACATGTTCTATTTTTACGACATACACACCAATACATCAATACATCAATAAATCATTTCTAATTTTTCTATCTTTTCTGATGGCCATCTTTTTCATAAAACTGAATGTTAACACTAGTTCAACAACCTTCTTATTTTTTAATCTTCTTAATGAGCAAAAGTGTTACATATGTATACAGGGTGGTTGGTAACTGGTGGTACAAGCGGAAAGGGGGTGATTCTACGTGAAAAAAGAAGTCGAAAATATAGAATAAAAATTTTTTTTTTGAGGCTTTTTTTCGAGAAAATCGACTTTGAATTTTCGCTCGGTACGCGTGCACTTTATCACGACCCGTTATAACGGATCTCACTGTAGATCGTTGTCCCGATGGAAAAATTTAAAAAACAAAAAAAAAATTTAAAAAAAATTTTATTCTATATTTTCGACTTCTTTTTTCGCGTAGAACCAACCCCTTTCCGCTTGTACCAACAATTATCAACCATCCTGTATAATACAATACGCGTATACACAATACACGTATTTAACTTATCAAGCATGTAACAATGAGTTAAATTTTCGATTATCAATCGCTCAAAAATTGTTCATAACCAAATTGCAAACTAAATTGGGCAGCTTAAAGCAAATAACCTACCTCAGTCTATTCTCCCTCTCGTGCACTGAAACTCACGGTTTCCTATCCTGTAGGCACCCACGATTAAAAGTTGTCATCCCTGTTCAACTCTTGAAACGTAACTAAACGCGTATAAGCTCGCCATAAAAAGTACACAAGCGGGCAGTAATATAATTGCACGTTAGAAACAGTGGAAACGTCTTCATCAAAGATGTAATCACCTAAGGATGTACCTACACCACTCGGGACGATGCCGAGTTCAAGGCAATCAATCAATTAGAATGTAACTCGTCGGTTAAATGAGACACGCTATGCCGTTTAATGCCGCCACAGCATGTATATTTCAATCAAATGAAATAAACAGAAGCCAGAAATGCAATAGAAAGAAACAAACGGCCACTCTATAATAGTGATTATTAAAAATGTAACTTCTTGCATCGTCGCAGCGCGGTAACGTCGATAATGACGATAATTACATGGGGGTGAATTCCAAGAGGGAACTATCCCATTTAAAGCAGCGTAAACATTTCGTTTACCTACGGCTATTAGTCGCATCTAATGCTTCGAACGATACACTTACTTCAAAGATAATCTTTATTTTCATATTCTCATGTTCAATGTTACATTTGATTGGAAATAATTCTTAATAGAATAGAAGAATAATTCTTTTTCTGAACAATTAAAATATACCGTAAAAAAATCCTGCTAGTGATTATTGCGAAAAGTGATACTATAGAACCTAACCGTGCGAAAGGTACTTGATCGTTCGATCTTTCCTAACACGAAGTGTAAGTAAGACAAATTACACAGCAAATATTGAAAATGCACGTACTACGATGGACATTGAAGCTTTTCATCGCCAGCGGATATTTTTTACCGCCCACGTTGAAATCTCCGACAAAACGCTTTCTCTATAATTTATATACGGTCTTCGTGACGTTGTACTTGTGGAGCTACTGCCTCACGCTAATCCTGGACATTTGCTTCAACGCGAGAACGCGGGACGACTTGCGTGACAATTTTAGCATATCTGTCACGATACTTATCACGGGTTGCAAATTTGTCAGCTTAGTCTTAGGGCGAAAAACTATCGTAAATATGTTGGATCTGCTCAAGAACAAGCCCTTTGTGCCAGAGAACAATGGGGAAGGAGAAATTCACGCGAGATACGACAATCTAATAGAGTAAGTTCTTTCTGTTCGTTGTAATATATATAATTGTAAGGAAATTATTATAATATTATTTTTTTCCCTTTTTTTTAGAAAAGTTTCGGTGGGTTATACGATCCAAGTCACATTTTGTGTGTTTTCTTTATTAGGAACGACGTTGATGGGTGATTTTCAGTCGAAAAAATTAATGTTCCGCGCTTGGTTTCCTTTCGACATCACCTCCTCGTGGTTTGCGTTCTCTATGACGTTCCTCTATCAGTTCGTGGGTTTAGTGATCATATCCAATGGTGTCTGTATTTTCGACACGTTATTCGCCGGCCTATTGCTTCACATATGTTGTCAACTGGAGATGCTGGTTTATCGTTTGCACAATATCGAAGGAAATGAAATTCAATCGATAAAACACTGCGTTTGGCATCATAATAAAATATTCAGGTTTGTTTCCTGTGGGCTTCTATTTAAACAAATTAACGATCTGACGAATGTAATTGAAGATTACGGGAGAAACCGAATTAAGTTGTATCTTTATTGATTTTCTATTTTACGACTAAAAAGAAATATTTTAACTTAGAATAGTTAAGCAGAAGAGCTGTTAGGTGCAAAGACGTAATTGGTTATGTTCCGAGAAAACCAAAGGTATCAACCATATTTTGATACTGTAACAAAATTGTAGAAATGAAGAAGGGGGTAGAAAAATATATATATATCGTGTCTCAAAAACGAATAAAAAGAAATTTTGATACCGCGGGACTAATCGACAATACTGGATTTTAACACGGCTTAGCTGTCACAAAGTGGGAAACGTGATTTGCTACTTTTCTTGCCTAAAATCTTCAGTTAAAGAAAACTGTGAAATAACACTTATCTCAATTATTTCAGTTTCGCCGATATAGTAAACCAATTTTTTAACAAATTAATGCTCGTGCAATTTGTGGAAAGCGCAATCTCGATATGCTTTACCCTTTACCTACTAACAGACATAGAAGACACTGCGCAATTAATAGGATGGTCTTCGTTCATGTTTGCCGCCATATTTCAAACTTTTTACTTTTGTTGGTTCGGAGATGTAGCGAAAGTAAAGGTAGATAAATACGCACGCAGATATAATACGAGCTGTCGTTTCTTTGCAAATCAATAATTTGTGGACTTGCAAATCAATAATTTGTGGACTTTTTATCTCTGCAGAGCCTGGATATTTCTAATATGGTATATAATAGCGATTGGCCAAATTTGAGCAACGACGCCAGGAAGATGCTTGTGGTGATCATGGCACGTTCATTGACGCCTGTTGAGATTACAAGCGCCTATATTTTACCCATGAACTTGGAATCTTTCAAAGGTGTCAGTATCTATGTAGAAATACATTATTGGCACAAACGTAAATTAAAAACAATACTCGGTACACTGAGTAATTCGTCATCGATTTGGGAAAAGTCAGTTCCCCCAATTTTGTATAATTTTTGTATAATTGACTCAAATATGTCTGTCAATCTTCCAAACTATTCTATCCTTTGTAATAGATGGTCATTGTTTGAAAATCTGCAATTAACAAAGAAAATTCAGTCCACATATTGAGTTTAGACTTCAAATAATGAGAAATGATACTAATTCGAAAAATATTACAAAAGACTCTGGTACGCGTAGATTAAGCTTATTGGAATACGACAATAGTGTAAAGCCCGCGATTAGAGTTCCTCCAATGTTTGTCCTCAAAATAATAGATACACGGAATAATACTGTAAATATTCTACAAAATAACCTTACGTTGATTGCCGAATGCGAGATAACATTCATTGATGTTAACGACAAATGTTACATTTTTTTTCCAAAAAATATACTTATTTCGCGGCTTACGAATGTTTTGTTTTATAAAGTTTCCCGTTTGTCGTAGTTGATGAAAGTTGCTTACTCGGCGTACAACATGTTGCTACAGAGTAAGTCATCGGAGTAGAACACATGCGGAGAATAAGTTGTATTAGTTCCTTCGTCACACAATGGAAGAATTAGGATAGAGACAATAGAAAACGAGTTATTGAAACAGAGCAGTAAATTATGTACCATGCAAACACAATAAATTTCAAACATTCCAGTGAGATCCAGATAGTGCTTCCAACGGAAGGACAATGATTATGCAAGGTTTTCTTTGATATAATATTTCTTCCTGGACTATATTTTCACGACACACGATTATTTTCACCATGAGTTGCTACTTATTAGTTTGTTACAGAAACCTGGCAATCTACTGCGAAATACTGAACGAATCGGCAGCGTTTTTGCGATCGTAGGACTTTATAATAATCTGATAGCTATGAAGGAGTTGCCAGTGTTCGACTGGATACCACACGATTTATTCTCCCACAATATCCACATGATTTTCTGCTGTATCAAACAGTCGGTATGTTATGTTCAAACAAATGATTAGGAAATGATTTTATTGTATTTTGCGATTCTTGTAACACTATTCAATAATATTTGAAATAGGTGGTTATTTTTAGATCTTAAAAAGAAATAGAAAATGCTACTACTGAAAAGATATAATAAAATGAGCTGCACTGTATTTGACGTACCTGAACGCGATTCTATTTCCATTAAAAAGAAATATTTTCATAGAAATAGTTTCGCAATTACCGTTGTAATCATCTCTCTATCGAATATTCTGCTTCTCGGTTGCTAAACACTTTCTGTTCTGCATTTGTTTTGCTTCAACAAAGCAAATCAAAGAACCATCTTTCTCGAAACTCACATGAAACATGTTTTACTTTTACGACACACACATCGATACTTCAATACATCAATAAATCATTTCTCGTTCTTCTATCTTTTCTGATCGCCATAAAAATGGGCAATTGACTCTTTCTTATAACTGAATGTTGACATTAGTTCTACAACCTCCTTACATTTTAATCTTTTTAATAAGCAAAAGTGTTACATATGTATATAACACTTTACACGTATTTTACTACTTATCAAACATGTAATAATGAGTTAAATTTTTAATTATCATTCGCTCAAAAGTTATTCATAACCAAATTGCAAGCTAAATTGAACAGCTTAATGCAAATAACCCTACCTCAGTCTATTCTCCCTTTCGTTCACTGAAACTCCCGATTCCCTATCTTATAAGCAACTATAATTAAGAGTTGTCTTCCTTGTTCGATTCTTGAAAACTAACTAAACGCGTATAAGCTCGCTATAAAAAGTACGCTGACGGGCAGTAATATAATTGCACGTTAGAAACAGTGGAAACGTCTTCATTAAAGATGTAATCACCTAAGGATGTACCTACACTACTCGGGACGATGCCGAGTTTAAGGTAATGAATCAATTAGAATATAACTTGTCGGTTAAATGACACACGCTATGACGTTTAGTGCCACCACAGCATGTATATTTCAATCCAATGAAGTAAACGGAAGCTGAAAATGAAAAATAGGGGGAAACGACCACTCTATAATGATGGTTTTTAAAAATGTAATTTCCTGCATCGTCGCAGCGCGGTAACATCGATAATGACGATAATTACATGGGGGTGAATTCCAAGAGGGAACTATTCCATTTAAGGCAGCATAAGCATTTCGTTTACCTACGGCTATTAGTCGCATCTAATGCTTCGAACGATACACTTACTTCAAAGATAATCTTTATTATCATATTCTCATGTTCGATACTACATTTGATTTGAAATAACTTCTTCTTTTGATGAATTGAAATATACCGTAAAAAAATTCTGCTGGTCATATTGCGAAGACTGATAGTATAAGACGTAATTGTTCGAAGGTACTTGATCGTTCGATCTTTCCTAACGCGAAGTTTAAGTAAGATAAATCATACCGTAAATATTGAAAATGCACGTACTACGATGGACGTTCAAACTTTTCATCGCCAGCGGATATTTTCTACCGCCCACGTTGAAGTCTCCGACGAAACGCTTTCTGTATAATTTATATACAGTTTTCATGACGATGTACTTGTGGAGCTACTCCCTCACGCTAATCATGGACATTTTCTACAACGTGGAAACGCAGGACGATTTGAGTGAGAATTTTAGCGTAACTGTCACGGTACTTATCACGAGTTGCAAATTTGTCAGCTTAGTCTTAGGGCGAAAAACTATCATAAATATATTGGGTCTATTGAAGAAGAAGCCCTTTGTGCCGGAGAACAATGAGGAAGCAGAAATTTACGCGAAATACGACAATCTAATCGAGTAAGTTCTTTCTGTTCGCTATAATATGTATAGTTGTAAGGAAATTATTTAAAATATTTTTTCCTCTTTTTTTTTTTAGGAAAATCGCTATGTTTTATACTATTCAAAACGCATTCTGCGTGCTTTCTTTAATAGTAGCAACATTGATGACTGATTTCAAATTAAAAAAATTAGCGTTTCGCGCCTGGTTACCTTTCGATTTCACTTCCTCGTGGTTTACTTTTTCTATGACATTCATTTACCAGTTCGTCGGTTCAATGGTCATCTCCGCTGGTATCAGTATTTTCGACACGTTGTTCGCCGGCCTGTTGCTTCAAATCTGTTGTCAATTCGAGATACTGGTGAATCGCCTGCACAATATCGGAGGAGATGAAATTCTATCGTTAAAACACTGCGTTCGGCACCATAATGCAATATACAGGTTTGTTTCCTTCGTGCTTTTATTTAAACAAAGTAACGAACTAGCGAAGATAATCGAAGATCACAGGAAAACGAAAATAAATTGTATTTTTATTAGTTTCTTATTTTACGATTAAAATTTTTATGCTAAAACGGGCAATATTTTCGAAATTATGAAGAGAATTGAAAAGTTTCTAGCAAATAGCATCAAAACCTCATAAAACGATACTTTTGCTAATGCAGGATTATTTGAATGTTGACAGTGCTCTTCCGTCAAGAAACGGAGAATATGATTTCTCACTTTCTTTCTCTATGATCTCCGATTAAAGAAAATAATTAAATAATATTTGTTTCAATAATTGCAGATTCGCCGAAATGGTAAATAATTTGTTTAGCAAAATGATGTGCGTGCAATTTATGGTAAGCGCAGCCGCCATATGCTTCAACGTTTATCGAGTAACAGAATCAAACGCTGGTTCGCAATTAATAGGCTCGGTACTGTTTATTTTTTCCGCCTTACTTCAAACGTTTTACTTTTGTTGGTTCGGAGATGTAGCGAAATTAAAGGTAGGTACATATGTAGCTGTAATATGAGTGTCTCGTAAACCAAAAACCTGTCGACTTTCTATTTCTGCAGAGCCTCGATATTCCTAATATGATATATCATAGCGATTGGACAAATTTGAGCAACGACGCCAAGAAGATGCTTATGGTAATCATGGCACGTTCATTGACGCCTGTTGAGATTACAAGCGCCTATATTTTACCAATGAACTTGGAATCTTTCAAGGGTGTCAGTATCTATGTAGAAATACATTATAGCAGTGAGTGGAAAATTAGATTAATGCGAATACTCAATAAACTGAGCAATTCGCAGTGTGAAACAGATCTGAGCCTAAAATACTAGGCGTAGCTATTGTATTATATTTATTTATATCATTTTCGTTGAATCCGAAAGATCCTACCTTTTGAAATAGATGGCCATTGCTTGGAAATTTGTTAACAGCAATACAAATTTTACCCATTTGTTGAATTTATACCTGAAATAAATGGAAAATGATACAAGCTTGAAAAATATTACAAAGAATTCTGATGTGTTTAGATTAATATGGCTCGTTGCAATAAATTAATCATATAAACTGACGTTCTTAAAAAGATATAGTTCAGAAAATTGTCGCTTTCCGTGTTTCGTATTTTCCAATTTTTATTCTTTGAAATAGTAGATACGTAGGGAGAAGTACTGCAACGATTCGTGACAATAATCTTAAGTTAAATGCCGAATGCAAGATAATACAAACTGCAAGCGTTTTCGAATGAATGTTACGTACTTTTTCCAAAAACAAACTTATCTCGACACTTATTAAAATTATGTTTTATCAAATGCTCCGTTTGTCGCAGTTGATAAAAACCACTTACTCGACGTATAACATGCTGCTACAGAGTAAGTCATCGCAGTAGAACACATGCGGAGAATAAGTTGTCTTAGTTCCTTCGCCACGTAATGGAAGAATTACAATAGAGGAAAATGAAAAAGAATCATTGAAACAACGAAATAAATTACATAGTATGCAAGAATAATACATTTCTAACACTTAAGTAAGAACGAGGTTTCGACAGTGAATCTTCGCGAACTTCCGCGCTATTTTACTAAGAATTTTCAACGATTTCGAAGTAGATTCGATTCGACGAACAACAACTGGAAATATTACAGACTCTGTATTTGAATTTCTCAATCGAGTTATTCCGATATCGAAGACTTCTGCTGGGCGTATGATTTGAGTCAACAAAGCAATACAGAAAAATAAGAATCATGTTCGTCTAAACCGAGAATAATACGAAATGTCGAACACTCGCATGCGATCTATTACAAATGCTTTCTTTTATCACACACATTAATAAAGCTTATTGTTAGATGGAAATAACTGAATTATGGCGTTATTAAAACTACATGCATTTTTTTCCTTGCCCTCCTGTTCGTGATAAAAATAAAAATGAAGCTACACTTGGAACGACTGATCACCGTCCACGGTACGAAGAAAACTAGTAAATTTATAAATCGGAAGAAGAGAACGAAATCACTGCGACGTTTTCAGAGGTACTGTAGCATATTTTTCATCGTTGTATTATTAACAAATCTGATGATATATAACACATTATTCTCCCGAAACCACAGGATATATATACAATCAAAGATAACAGGTTCTATCAACGGGATACAGGAGTTTGTCAATATTCTGGAATAGTCAATGATATTGGAAACGCTTAGAATTTTACCGTATAGACCGTTCCTTCGTTATTTATAGAATTTGAGTTTTCACATATTAACAAGAACTATTTTATTTTAATTTAATAATCCAAATAGCTTATTTTTTCTTTTCTAACGAAATAATTGGTATGTACGATCTCTACGTTTCATCCAAATTCTCGTTTAAGATAAATAAATTCGAGATGATGTAAAATCAAACTGGACACGCAACAAATTTTACGTCACTTTTAGCCGATAAATTCCCATGAAAATGATTGTGCGCGTGCTATAATGGTCACGTATTCTTCTTTCAATCGCCGGTTGCTTACCATCGAAATCGTGAACATCAACGATCACAAAATCTTTGTACAACTTACACGCGTTGTTCGTGTGGCTTTTAATATTGGTATTTTAATATTAATATAAAATATTGTCTCTCGTGTGTACTCAGATTGTAGATATAATTATAAACGTGGAAAATCAGGACCAACTCAATGACGAAGTTAAATTTGGAGTTTCATTAACGAAATAAAACGAGACTCAGATAAGTATAGAAATTTTTGATAAAACGTTTCGTGTAATATCTTTTCATTGCAGAGCCTTGACATACCTGCCATGATATTTGATAATTGGACGAAAAAAAAGAAGATTCTCTTAGTGATCATGACACGCACAACGCATTCCATCGAATCTACCAGTGGCTACCTGGTAACATTGAATCTCGGCTTTTCCGTGACGGTTGATATTAGATTTATAAAACAAGGAACATAGCAAATAATACGTAAGGTAATTGCATATGCAAATCAAAATAATATAGTTTGTAAATTCTACAGAAGACACCCGACTTTACGGTAAAATATTCTAAAATAAATGTAAAAGTGCATGCTTTCTTATTACAGCTAACGAAAACTTCGTACTCATTGTTTAATATGTTGCAAGGAACTGAATGATGACACGAAGTGGAATAACTGTGGATCTTGATGTTATTTCTTTCGATTCTTCGAAAGGACTAAGTTCTACAAATGTACCGATACAAGTGGACTATATAGCAATAAACATTACACACTGCTAAAGATGCCCAGAAATACTTGCCTGATCGTAGAGGTAAATATGTTAGACGTTTTTCCTTTCTCATCTGTTGAAAAAGCACACGTGTACGATACCCCACTTTTCACTAAAAATGCTTTCAATTTATGAATAATATTCTCTGTTCCTTCCGTATTAAAAAACTCTATCGATGATGAATATTTGCATTATACCAGCTTCTAATGGAAGACAATATGAAGGGGTGCATAAAAGAGTACGTACGGATATGAAGGGTTGATTCATTATTCTTTTAACGATCAAACATATTATTACAATAATGATATGCATGAGCGAAGGGTAAGTTACAGTTAGAAAATAAGTCATACCGAGAAAGTAAGAGGGATATTGATATTTTACTACCGTCAGTGACTCTCGAACTTCGAACGAAAGTTGGTCGAGGGTGTTGTACAAGTGTTTCTCTTTCTACATTTTCGATAATTATTTCATGCTCGCCATTGGCGTCACTCTGGTAAAATAAGAATCAATTAAATAGAAAAAGTGCCTGATAATAGAAAATTTTCAATTGGAAGATGCATATACTACGATGGACATTTTTGTTGTTCACATTGTGCGGCTGTTACCCGCCTCTTTCGTGGAAGACACCTCTGCAAAAATTTCTGTATGAAATTTATACAGTATTCTCATTTCTGGTTCTCAATAGTTTCTTGCTTTTTCAAATATTAGATATGATATGCAACGTAGAAAACACAGATGATTTCAGCGATAATTTCTCCGTGACAGTGGTGGTGTTTGTCACGTGCATCAAGCTTTTCACTATACTGGTATATCGAGCAAATTTCCTACTTTTGTGCAATACGCTTCAAAGGGAGCCATTTTTACCAATGAACGAAGAAGAGTTCGAAATTCTGTTGAAATTCGAGAAAATTACCGAGTAAGTAATTTGCTGTTTCATTTCTATAATATATGTCTACATACATGTATATACGATAAATAAATTTTTCGTATTGACGGTAAATTGTTTTAGTAATATAATAATTATATATTTAACTACAAACATGGAACGTACATTTTACGATGACATATAACAAAGTAATAGAAGAGAAGTAAAATATAAAGTGCCTACGTTAAGCAAGATCGTAGTCTAAATTAATTGACAAGTTCTCATCGACGAAAAGTATTATTCTCTTTTATATTTCTCTTCCAGTTGGAACACACTTGGTTACATGACCCTGCTCGTGATTTCTGATTTCTTTATACTCGTAGTGTCGCTTCTAGCAAATTTCAAGAACCGAAAACTAGCGTTTCGAACATGGATACCATACGAATACTCGTCGTTATCTGCATATCTGCTTACTTTCCTTTATCAGTCGTTATTCACGGCGATATGCACCTTTGGATGCGTCGCTAGCGACTCTCTGTACAGTGGCCTGTTGATACATATTAACTGCCAATTCGAAATACTAGAGCATCGTCTGAAGAACATCGAATCGAACCAGAATTATTCAGTGAAGCTGTGTGTTCATCATCACGATCATATCTACAAGTCAGTTTGCCGATTTATTTCTCTTTTGATAGCTTCACAGAGGAATTAATATATATAACTTCTTCACTGTAACATTTCCTTATTTATGAGCTTACAGATTTGGCGAAATGGTGAACGAGGAATTTAAAATGATCATGCTTTTTCAATTCTGTACAAGCCTGTCTACGATCTGTTTCAATTTCTATCGAATAACACAAATCGAAATGGATTCGAGATTCGTAGGAACGCTTCTCTACATGGCCTGCTCGTTGATGCAGATATTTTACTACTGCTGGTTCAGTAATGAAGTCAAACTCAAGGTTCGCTATTACCACGAAAAATAGAATAAAACCTTAAGGTCGGGTTTCCTGTATGCATTAGACGTAAACGTTTGGATATGATTTACTTTTCAGTGAATAACGTTCACATAGAGACTTCACATTTCCTGCCAGTCTAAAATGCTCGTATCATAATTAGACTACGGATATTTGTGCAATTATGAGAAATTTAAAGGTCCATCAATGCATAGAAAGCGCTTAACGTGGAAAGAAATAGGCAAATATATAAAAATATTGTAATATTACAATTTTTCGTAGGTGAAACAACTGTGTTGTAGCTCTACTTCCCCAATTGTATGCACAAGAATATGAATTTACATAAATATCCGCAGTCCATTGGCAGGAAATCCCACCTTTTGGAAATTTGACAACTAATTGAGTAAAATGATATAATTGTCCGTGTAGAGTTTGGAACTTTCTGATATGATATTCAGAACTGACTGGACATCGTTAAATAACAACGTTAAGAGAGCTTTTTTGATGTTAATGAAGCGTGCTATGAGGCCGATCGAATTTACCAGCATTTACGTCATCTCCGTCAATCTTGAGTCCTTCATGACAGTCAGTATCGTCTAAACCTTTCTTCTTTTACATTTTTCGATAGAAAATTGCTAGAAACATTTATGTTGTAGCTTCTGAAGACTTCTTACTCAGCGTTCAATGTTTTCCAACAGAGCCGGGAATCATGAAAATGCGGGAATTCTCTTAATTTAGAACCGTCTGCCTTCGATACTTCCGAATAGAATAATAATTGTCCACTTAGAAAAAGGAAGAGAAAAAAGCAAATCGAACACAACACGCGAAACGTGCAACAGAGTATCTAGAGTGCATTCCAATAAATTATTTGAAACATGAATACCATGCATTTGATTAACGTGCCTGTATCACTTTCTCTTTTGACTCTCATTTTTCGTCAATGAAACTATTCACAATGAGTAAACCGCAACCTTCTGTTCCTTGCGACCGATGAAAGCAGACTGATGGTGCTTCGTGTTCTAAAGTTTATTTTTTATTAATTTTCGTTGAGGGGAGACAGATAATAGCCGATGAATCATTATCTATTTCCAGGACAATTTCGACCCTTTCTTCGTTTCTCGACTCCGTACTTTGCCCCCGATCGACTAGTTGGAACATTGTGGCTTCCCGGAAACGACAGGAGATGCCTATAATAAATAAATACTTTTTAGCCAATTATATAGACTGTCATCAGTTATAGAACTATAGAGAAACTTTACTCTTAATCGCGATTCTATCTAAGTGAAAGCCCCAACTGGGAAATATTTCATTGATTTTTCTGTAATCGCATAACCATAGGGGATGTATGTAATGTAATAATAATAAAGATGTCTTGGTCGACAAAAAAAGATCGGTGGAAAAGAAGACAGGTAATAGAGTCGCGCATTTGATGGAAGCTCTTTCATTCTGTAACAGTCAAGCAGCTTTGATAAAAATTTGTAACTGACATAATCAAGCTTGTTAAGTATAATTAAAAGTAGGATATTCGCACAATTAGATTTTTGTACGCTTCGATCAAATTCTTCCAGGCAAAAATATAGGAAAATAAAATCATAACGATATTCTTTTCCTTTTTTGACGAAATATTCATCTTTTAAAAAGAAATTTTTAAACAAGATTTTTTGTATGTATCATCGACTAGTTTTTAGTCGATGATTTTCTAAGAAAATATAAGCAGAGGTAACTAAGAAACAAAACGATGCACAGACTTCCTCTGTCGTTTGCTTTGCTCACTTACTGCGGTTACTGGAGACCAGCTAAATGGCCACACACTTCGCTCAAGTATCGTCTGTACAACGTTTACTCGGTGTTCATGATTTTGCTACTATACTTCTTCACGTTCTGCTCTTGCGTGGATTCGTTTACTAGCAAAAACCTGGAGGCTATGACCGACAAATTTTCTCTCTGCGTCTCTGTGGTAGGAGTCTGCCTTAAAGTAGCCAATCTCTTTGTCCGGCGAGGAAAAATTATAAATGTGATGAATATATTGTTGAACGAGAATTGTATTGCGAGAGACGATCAGGAAGAACGCATCCAACGAAAGAACGATGATTATGCCAGGTTTTCTTTTTTACAATATTCCTTCGTGGACTACACTTTCGCGGCTCACGATCATCTTGCCATGAATTACTGCTTACAAGTTTGTTACAGAAAACTGGCGATATACTGCGAGATCCTGAACGAATCGGCAGTGTTCTTTGCGACCGTGGGACAATACAAAAAACTCATAAGTATGAGAGAGTTACCAGTGTCCGACTGGATGCCGTACGATTTATCCTCGCAAAAAGTGTACACGATATCCCTAGTGTATCAAACAGTTGGTTTGTTGATCTGTGCAAATACCAGCGTGGCCAACGAAACACTGATCGCAGGATTGATGATACAAGTCGGCACGCAATTTGAGATATTTTGTCATCGAGCTAGAAATCTATCATTCTCATTGACGTCAGCGAGAAGGAACACTATGTCTAACGAAGAATTCAAGATAAGATGCAATAAGATTATTGGGAACTTAATTAGACATCACTACGATATTTACGAGTACAAATAGATGTGCATTTTTCGTGATCATAAATTCTGAAATTCTTAGTACCGAATTTTCTAATTTTTTCTTTGATTGCAGATTTGCTAAAACAGTGAACAGTGTGTTTCAGTACATGATTTTCTTACAATTTTGCATAAGTTCGATAGTACTATGTCTGAGTGTCTATCAGTTTTCCACGGTAGATCCGTTCAGTATGAACTTCTTATGGAGCGGCTTCTATTTGTGCTGTATGCTTATGCAGGTGTATTTATACTGTTGGTTTGGGAACGAGGTGACGTTGAAGGTTGGCACTGCATTTCGTTTCTATTTGATCGCTACATGTATCTTCGAGTGCAATAGCACGGAGTAGCAGAAACGACGGTTTTATTTGAAATGTTTATTCAGTGTCTAATGATAATGATTATGACACGGTGATTAATAAAAGTCACAAAAAGAAAAAGAACAGAGTGATTTTCTCTCGTTTCTTGAGCTCTCGTGTAGAATGAATTTAATATTACAAATAAAATTTTTGATCTTACAAGTTATCGGTATTATAATAAACAACTCAGCACGATTCGTAGTAAAACAAATAACGTTGTATATGTAAATTTTACGAATTAAAAGTCAACTGATTATTCCATGTGGTATGCAATTGTAAAATTGTAAAAAAGTATTTTGTGACCTGTAACTTGTAACTTACTAACTTATTAGTACTAGTAGATAATATATCATTATTCAAAATGGATTTGATCTCAAATTATGATACATGTTTTCATTTACGTACGATCGACGTAATTTTTAGAGCAACAAAGTTCGCGATGCTATTTATGATATGGATTGGACCATGCTACCTACTGAAGTAATGAAAAGTTTATTACTGATCCTGATTAGAACTGATAGACCTGTTAAAATGACAAGCGGTCACGTTGTTGTTTTATCTTCGCAATCTTTCGTGTCAGTTAGTACAATTTCAATGCTTTTAACCAGTAAATTATAAATCGTTAATGCGATTCTAACAACTTCGTACTTTATTATAGATCATGAAGATGACTTACTCTTCGTACAATCTTCTGTCAAACTCTAAGAGTAAATAAGAATTTTCCTTGTTACTGTGATTTTTACTGACTGTTTAATTATCTTAATTTGTCTACAATTATTGTAAAAGTGTATCCTTTTACCGTTGTGCATGGCCATACAACACTCTCACTAATGTACTCATGACGATCACGACTGCGAAATAAAAATGCAGAATTTAATCAACAAATTAACGTACCTCCTATATTGCGAATTGTGGAAATATATACAAATAAAATGTTTGAAACTTTATCTTCAAAGCTTTGTAAACCACACAATTTAAAAACGCATCTGTACACCTGACGGTCCTATTGCAATTTTTTGAAAGCTTTCTGCTACTCTAGTGATGCTTGGTTCCCTTATTCGAGGTAGACGTTATAAATACCGAATTCACGTTGCAACGAATTAAATGGTGGCATGAAATAGAAGTGCAGTGGATTTTGAGACTATTTGTATCGATGCTTCCAGTGGATAACGTTCTGCAAATGTACCGATGCATGTAGAGAACGTAACAATAAACTTTGCACCATGAAATGCCAACTCATAAATGCTTGCCTGATCGTAGAAGAAAATATGTTGGACGTTTATCCCTTGTGATATGTTGAAGAAGCACACGTGGACGATATTTCATTTTCAACTAAAAATTCTTCCGTCCAATTCGTGGATAATATTCTTCGCCCGTTCTATTTTACGAAACATTATCGAAGGTAAATATTTACGCTATAGTAGCTCACAACAAAGGAAAATATGAAGAGGGGTATGAAATAAATATGTATGTGTACGAAGGGTTGGTTCATTATTCTTTAAACGGTAGATACGCATCCAATGTCATCGTGTCACACACTACTATTATAGTAATGATACGTATCAGCGAAGTATTGCAGTAGAAAGTAAGTCTGTTGAAGGCAGTAAGAGGGAATTGATTTTACAGTCGTCAGTTACATTTCTAACTTCGAACAAGAGCTGCTCGAGAGTGTTGTATAACCCACTTCTTTCTACATTTTCGATAATTTCTCTGTATACTTACTTTCACTGTTACTATAACAAAATAAGGATCGGTTAAACAAAGGAAGTGCGTGATAATAAAAAGTTTGGACATCAAGCATGCATATACTACGATGGACATTCTTATTGTTCACATTGTGCGGCTGTTTTCCACCGGCTTCGTGGAAAACACCCCGCAAAAAATTTTTGTACAAGATTTATACGGTATTCTCGCTCCTGGTCTTGAATACTTTCTTTCTTTGTTTAATAATGGATATGATATACAATGTAGAAAACATAGACGACTTCAGTGACAATTTTCACGTGACAGTGGGATCGTTCCTCATAAGCATCAAAGTCTCCGTTATACTGATATATCGCGAAAGCTTCGTACGTTTGCGCGACACTCTACAGAAAGAGCCACTTTTGCCAATGAATCAACAAGAATTCGAAATTTTGTTGAGATTCGACAAAATTACCGAGTAAGTTTGTTTTTCGCTCCTTTGGTGAAACAAAAACTTTCTATCTTGTATACATATATGATTAGATGACCTTGTAGCAACACATGAGCTAGAAGACAATTCCAATCATGTTGTTGTTTTGCCTCGGAGTATCAATATCGATTGGATACACACAATATAATAATAAATAAACTCCGGGCAAAACAATGTCGCCGCTACGTGCAACCATTGAACAAAAACGATATTGAATTTTCCGACTCTTTCCCGACCAGTATAAATAAACAGACGCGATTGTAAGAATTGCAGCATCTGCGAGTACCTACGAGTATCTATCGAGTATCTATCAGCGATCTAATCAGCGAGTATTTTAGCGATTATACACTGTCTTAGCGAATTTGTTAGTACGAGCGTCTTAACGAAATTATCTGTATTTTTTTATTTATTTATTATTTTAAATACACTTGACGATTTCAACAACGAGTTACTTCGTTATTCCAACAACCATTATTTACAATCCTCTACAACCTAAACGAATACACAAATGCATCTGCAATAAGTCGTCTAATAATATTACGCCTAATACAACAAATAGTTTTCGATGTTAAGGTTAAATTGTGTTAGTAGTATGATAACTATATATTTACCTACAAAAATATAGATTGTTGCATTAAATAAGAACTTACTTTCAATTGATCGACAATGCTTCTTCGACTGAAAGCACTTTTCTATTTTCTTTTTCTCTTCTAGCTGGAACACATTTGTTTATATGACGATACTCATGTCTAGTAATTTTTATCTATTTATGGAATCGCTTCTGACGTATAAGAAAAGACAACTAACGTATCGAACATGGGTACCATACGACTATTCGTCTACATCTGCATTTCTGCTTACTTTGCTTTATCAATCGTTATTCACGACGATATGCTCCTTTGGATGCATCGCTACTGATTCTCTGTACAGTGGCCTGTTGATACATATTAACTGCCAATTCGAAATACTAGAGCATCGTCTGAAGAACATCGAATCGAACCAGAATTACTCAGTGAAGCTGTGTGTTCGTCATCACGATCACATATACAAGTCAGTTTGCTGATTTATTTCTCTTTTGATAACTCCACAGAAATAAAATATATAACTTTTTCACTGTAACATTTTCTCATTTACGAGCTTACAGATTTGGCGAAATGGTGAACGAGGAATTTAGGGCGATCTTTTTTTTCCAATTCTATACAAGTCTGTGTATGATCTGTTTCAACATTTATCAAATAACACAAATCGAGATTGATTCGAACATTATAGGCAGGATTCTCTTTATGAACTATTCGTTGATGCAGATATTTTACTACTGTTGGTTCGGGAATGAAGTCAAGCTTAAGGTTCAACATTACGACGAAGAATGTAATAAAACCTTAAGGTTGGATTTCCTGTATACATTTGGATATGATTTACTTTCCAGTGAATAGCGTTCACATAGAGACTTCACATTTCCTGTCAGTCTAAAATGCTCGTATCATAATTAGACTACGGATATTTATGCAATTATGAGAAACTTAAAGCTCCATCAATGCATAGAAAGCGCTTAGCAATTGATCGACAATGCTTCTTCGACTGAAAGCACTTTTCTATTTTCTTTTTCTCTTCTAGCTGGAACACATTTGTTTATATGACGATACTCATGTCTAGTAATTTTTATCTATTTATGGAATCGCTTCTGACGTATAAGAAAAGACAACTAACGTATCGAACATGGGTACCATACGACTATTCGTCTACATCTGCATTTCTGCTTACTTTGCTTTATCAATCGTTATTCACGACGATATGCTCCTTTGGATGCATCGCTACTGATTCTCTGTACAGTGGCCTGTTGATACATATTAACTGCCAATTCGAAATACTAGAGCATCGTCTGAAGAACATCGAATCGAACCAGAATTACTCAGTGAAGCTGTGTGTTCGTCATCACGATCACATATACAAGTCAGTTTGCTGATTTATTTCTCTTTTGATAACTCCACAGAAATAAAATATATAACTTTTTCACTGTAACATTTTCTCATTTACGAGCTTACAGATTTGGCGAAATGGTGAACGAGGAATTTAGGGCGATCTTTTTTTTCCAATTCTATACAAGTCTGTGTATGATCTGTTTCAACCTTTATCAAATAACACAAATGGAAATGGATTCGAACATCATAGGAAGGATCCTCTTTATGAACTTCTCGTTGATGCAGATATTTTACTACTGTTGGTTCGGGAATGAAGTCAAGCTTAAGGTTCAACATTACGACGAAGAATGTAATAAAACCTTAAGGTTGGATTTCCTGTATACATTTGGATATGATTTACTTTCCAGTGAATAGCGTTCACATAGAGACTTCACATTTCCTGTCAGTCTAAAATGCTCGTATCATAATTAGACTACGGATATTTGTGCAATTATGAGAAATTTAAAGGTCCATCAATGCATAGAAAGCGCTTAACGTGGAAAGAAATAGGCAAATATATAAAAATATTGTAATATTACAATTTTTCGTAGGTGAAACAACTGTGTTGAAGCTCTACTTCTCCAATTGTATGCACAAGAATATGAATTTACATAAATATCCACAGTCCATTGACAGGAAATCCCACCTTCTGGAAATTTTACAACTAATTGAGTAAAATGATATAATTTTCTGTGCAGAGTTTGGAACTTTCTGATGTAATATTCAGAAGCGACTGGACATCGTTAAATAACAACGTTAAGAGAGCTTTTTTGATGTTAATGAGGCGCGCTATGAGACCGATCGAATTTACCAGCATTTACGTCATCTCCGTCAATCTTGAGTCCTTCATGACAGTCAGTATCGTCTAAACCTTTTTTGCTTTATATTTTTAGGTTGAAAATTATGGGAAACATTTATGTTGTAGCTACTGAAGACGTCTTACTCCGTGTTCAGTGTGTTCCAACAGAGCCAGGAATCGTGAAAACAAAGGATAATTTCTTAACATAGAACCGTCTTTCTTCGATTCTTCCGAATAGAGTAATAACTATTCACTTAGAGAAAGGGAAAGAAAAAAGCAAATCGTTCAAAACAATGCGAACGTGCACTAGAGTATCCGAAGTGTATTTCAATAAATTATATGAAACATGAATAACACATATGTACATGCTTAAATCACTTGCCCTTAGCGACACATTTCACTTATGTTCCTCTTCTTCCGTCAATGAAATTATTCAAAATAAAATCTATCGGTAAACCGCGGCCTCCTTTCTCTTGCGACCGACGAAAACAGACTGATGATGCTACGTGTTCCACAGATTACTTCTTATTAATTTTTGTGGAGGGGAAACAGATAATAGCCGATGAATCATTATCCATTTCCACGGCAAATTCGACCATTTCTTCGCTTATCGACGCCGTATTTTGCCTTCAATCCATTAAAGAGGACTCTGTGACTTTGGGGAAGTGAAAAAAGATACCAATAGTTTTTTTGTTAGCCTATTTTTTAGACAATCATATCGTCTGCGATATGAAACTTTAGAGAAATTTTGCTCTTGAAAGCTTCTACTGGGAAATAGTTATGTTTTTTATATTCGAACAACTAAAGAGGATGTGTGAAATGTAATAATAATAAGTACTAATACTCTTCAAAACGAAAAGATAGGAAAATGGAATCACGACTGGATATCGTACGATTTACCCGCCCAAAAACTGTACACCTTATCCCTAGCGTATCAAACAACTCGTTTATTGATTCACTGACCTCAAGATAGGAGTTGGCGTGCAATTTGAGATACTTTGTCATCGAAATAAAAATCCATCATTCTCATTGACGGCAGCGAAAGGAACACCATGTCTAACGAAGAATTCAAGATAAGATGCAATAAAATTATTGGGAACTTAATTAGACATCACTACGATATTTACAAATAGATGTGCATTTTTCGTGATCATGGATTTTGAAATTTTTAGTACCGAATTTTCTAATTTTTTATTTGATTGCAGATTTGCCGAAACAGTGAACAGTGTGTTTCAGTACATGATTTTCTTGCAATTTTGCATAAGTTCGATAGTACTATGTCTGAGTGTCTATCAGTTTTCCACGGTAGATCCGTTCAGTATGAACTTCTTATGGAGCGGCTTCTATTTGTGCTGTATGCTTATGCAGGTGTATTTATACTGTTGTTTTGGGAACGAGGTGACGTTGAAGGTTGGTACCGCTTTCCGTTTCTATTTGATAACTACATGTATTTTCTAGTGCAATAGCACGGGAAGCAGAAACGACGGTTTTATCTGAAATGTTTATTCAGTGTCTAATGATAATGATTATGATACGGTGATTAATTAAAGTCGTAAAAAGGAAAAGATCAGAGTGATCTTTTCTCGTTTCTTGCACTCTCGTATAGAATGAATTTAATGTAACAAATAAAATTTTTGATCTTACAAGTTATTGGTATTATAATAAAAAACTAGGCACAATTCGTAGTAAAACAAATAACCATTAAATTATAAATTATTATTGCGATTCTAACAACTTTGTACTTTATTATAGATCATGAAGATGACTTACTCTTCGTACAATCTTCTGTCAAACTCTAAGAGTAAATAAGAATTTTCGTTGTTATTGTGATTCAATTTTTACTGATTGTTTAATTATCGTAAATTGTCTACAATTATTGTAAAAGTGTGTCCTTTTACCGTTGTGCATGGCCATACAACACTCTCACTAATGTACTCATGACGATCACGACTGAGAAATAAAAATGCAGAATTTAATCAACAAATTAACGTACCTCCTATCTTGCGAATTGTGGAATATACAAAAAAATGTTTGAAATTTTATCTTCAAGCTTTGTAAACCACACAATTTAAAAACGCATCTGTACACCTGACGATTATACTGTTGTTTTGGGAACGAGGTGACGTTGAAGGTTGGTACCGCTTTCCGTTTCTATTTGATAACTACATGTATTTTCTAGTGCAATAGCACGGGAAGCAGAAACGACGGTTTTATCTGAAATGTTTATTCAGTGTCTAATGATAATGATTATGATACGGTGATTAATTAAAGTCGTAAAAAGGAAAAGATCAGAGTGATCTTTTCTCGTTTCTTGCACTCTCGTATAGAATGAATTTAATGTAACAAATAAAATTTTTGATCTTACAAGTTATTGGTATTATAATAAAAAACTAGGCACAATTCGTAGTAAAACAAATAACCATTAAATTATAAATTATTATTGCGATTCTAACAACTTTGTACTTTATTATAGATCATGAAGATGACTTACTCTTCGTACAATCTTCTGTCAAACTCTAAGAGTAAATAAGAATTTTCCTTGTTACTGTGATTTTTACTGACTGTTTAATTATCTTAATTTGTCTACAATTATTGTAAAAGTGTATCCTTTTACCGTTGTGCATGGCCATACAACACTCTCACTAATGTACTCATGACGATCACGACTGAGAAATAAAAATGCAGAATTTAATCAACAAATTAACGTACCTCCTATCTTGCGAATTGTGGAATATACAAAAAAATGTTTGAAATTTTATCTTCAAGCTTTGTAAACCACACAATTTAAAAACGCATCTGTACACCTGACGATCCTATTGCAATTTTTTGAAAGCTTTCTGCTACTCTAGTGATGCTTGGTTCCCTTATTCGAGGTAGACGTTATAAATACCGAATTCACGTTGCAACGAACTAAATGGTGGCATGAAATAGAAGTGCAGTGGATTTTGAGACTATTTGTATCGATGCTTCCAGTGGACAACGTTCTGCAAATGTACCGATGCATGTAGAGAAGGTAACAATAAACTTTGCACCATGAAATGCCAACTCATAAATGCTTGCCTGGTCGTAAAAGAAAATATGTTGGACGTTTATCCCTTGTGATATGTTGAAGAAGCACACGTGGACGATATTTCATTTTCAACTAAAAATTCTTCCGTCCAATTCGTGGATAATATTCTTCGCTCGTTCTATTTTACGAAACATTATCGAAGGTGAATATTTACGCTATATTAGCTCGCAACAAAGGATAATATGAAGAGGGGTATGAAAAAAATATGTAAGAGTACGAAGGGTTGATTCATTATTCTTTAAACGGTAGATACGCATCCAATGGCATCGTGTCACACACTACTATTATAGTAATGATACGTACAGCGAAGGGTAATTGCAGTAGAAAATAAGTCTGTTGAAAGAAGTAAGAGGGAATTGATTTTACAGTCGTCAGTTACATTTCTAACTTCGAACAAGAGTCGAAGTGACTGCTCGAGAGTAGCGTATAACTCACTTCTTTCTCCATTTTCGATAATTTCTCTGCATACTTACTTTCACTGTTACTATAACGAAATAAGGATCGGTTAAAGAAAGGAAGTGCGTGATAATTAAAAATTTGGACATCAAGCATGCATATACTACGATGGACATTTTTATTGTTCACATTGTGCGGCTGTTTACCACCGCCTTCGTGGAAAACACCCCGCAAAAAATTTTTGTACAAGATTTATACGGTATTCTCGCTCCTGGTCTTGAATACTTTCTTTCTTTGTTTAATAATGGATATGATATACAATGTAGAAAATATAGACGACTTCAGTGATAATTTTCACGTGACGATGGGATCGTTCCTCACAACCATCAAGGTCTCCGTTATGTTGATGTATCGCGAAAGCTTCGTACGTTTGCGCGACACTCTACAGAAAGAACCACTTTTGCCAATGAACCGACAAGAATTCGAAATTTTGTTGAGATTCGACAAAGTTACCGAGTAAGTTTGTTGAAATGAAAACTTCCTATCATGTATATAGATATGATTAGATGAACTTGTAACAACACACGAGCTAGAGGACAATTCATATCATGTTGTTTTGTCCCGGAGTATCAATATCATTAGGATACACACAATGTAATAATAAACTCCGGGCAAAACAGTGTCGCCGCTACGTGCAACCGTCGAACAAAAACGATATTGAATTTTCCGACTCTTTCCCGACCAGTATAAATAAACAGACGCGATTGTAAGAATTGCAGTATCTGCGAGTATCTACGAGAATCTATCGAGTATCTATCAGCGATCTAATCAGCGAGTATTTTAGCGATTATACACTGTCTTAGCGAATTTGTTAGTACGAGCGTCTTAACGAAATTATCTGTATTTTTTTATTTATTTATTATTTTAAATACACTTGACGATTTCAACAACGAGTTACTTCCTTATTCCAACAACCATTATTTACAATCCTCTACAACCTAAACGAATACACAAATGCATCTGCAATAAGTCGTCTAATAATATTACGCCTAATACAACAAATAATTTTCGATGTTAAGGTTAAATTGTGTTAGTAGTATGATAACTATATATTTACCTACAAAAATATAGATTGTTGCATTAAATAAGAACAGTAAGAGGGAATTGATTTTACAGTCGTCAGTTACATTTCTAACTTCGAACAAGAGCTGCTCGAGAGTGTTGTATAACCCACTTCTTTCTACATTTTCGATAATTTCTCTGTATACTTACTTTCACTGTTACTATAACAAAATAAGGATCGGTTAAACAAAGGAAGTGCGTGATAATAAAAAGTTTGGACATCAAGCATGCATATACTACGATGGACATTCTTATTGTTCACATTGTGCGGCTGTTTTCCACCGGCTTCGTGGAAAACACCCCGCAAAAAATTTTTGTACAAGATTTATACGGTATTCTCGCTCCTGGTCTTGAATACTTTCTTTCTTTGTTTAATAATGGATATGATATACAATGTAGAAAACATAGACGACTTCAGTGACAATTTTCACGTGACAGTGGGATCGTTCCTCATAAGCATCAAAGTCTCCGTTATACTGATATATCGCGAAAGCTTCGTACGTTTGCGCGACACTCTACAGAAAGAGCCACTTTTGCCAATGAATCAACAAGAATTCGAAATTTTGTTGAGATTCGACAAAATTACCGAGTAAGTTTGTTTTTCGCTCCTTTGGTGAAACAAAAACTTTCTATCTTGTATACATATATGATTAGATGACCTTGTAGCAACACATGAGCTAGAAGACAATTCCAATCATGTTGTTGTTTTGCCTCGGAGTATCAATATCGATTGGATACACACAATATAATAATAAATAAACTCCGGGCAAAACAATGTCGCCGCTACGTGCAACCATTGAACAAAAACGATATTGAATTTTCCGACTCTTTCCCGACCAGTATAAATAAACAGACGCGATTGTAAGAATTGCAGTATCTGCGAGTATCTACGAGAATCTATCGAGTATCTATCAGCGATCTAATCAGCGAGTATTTTAGCGATTATACACTGTCTTAGCGAATTTGTTAGTACGAGCGTCTTAACGAAATTATCTGTATTTTTTTATTTATTTATTATTTTAAATACACTTGACGATTTCAACAACGAGTTACTTCCTTATTCCAACAACCATTATTTACAATCCTCTACAACCTAAACGAATACACAAATGCATCTGCAATAAGTCGTCTAATAATATTACGCCTAATACAACAAATAATTTTCGATGTTAAGGTTAAATTGTGTTAGTAGTATGATAACTATATATTTACCTACAAAAATATAGATTGTTGCATTAAATAAGAACTTACTTTTAATTGATCGACAATGCTTCTTCGACTGAAAGCATTTTTCTATTTTCTTTTTTCTTCTAGCTGGAACACACTTGGTTATATGACGATACTCATGACTAGTAATTTTTATCTATTTATGGAATCGCTTCTGACGTATAAGAAAAGACAACTAACATATCGAACATGGGTACCATACGACTATTCGTCTGCATCTGCATTTCTGCTTACTTTGCTTTATCAGTCGTTATTCACGACGATATGCTCCTTTGGATGCGTCGCTACTGATTCTCTGTACAGTGGCCTACTAATTCATATTACCTGCCAATTCGAAATACTAGAGCATCGTCTAAAGAACATTGAATCGAACCAGAATTACTCAGTGAAGCTGTGTGTTCGTCATCACAATCAAATATACAAGTCAGTTTGCCGATTTATTTCTCTTTTGATAACTTCGCAGAGAAATAAAATATACAGGTTGGTAACTAGTGGTACAAGCGGGAAGGGGGTGATTCTACGCGAAAAAAGAAGTCGAAAATATAGAATAAAAAATTTTTTTTTTTATTTTTCCATCGAGACTACGATCTACAGTGAGATCCGTTATAACGAGACGTGATAAAGTGCACGCGTACCGAGCGAAAATTCAAAGTCGATTTTCTCGAAAACAAAGCCTCAAACGAAAAATTTTTATTCTATATTTTCGACTTCTTTTTTCGCGTAGAATCATTTCGCGTAGAATCGCCCCCTTTCCGCTTGTACCACCAGTTACCAACTACCCTGTATAACTTCTTCACTGTAACATTTTCTTATTTACGAGCTTACAGATTTAGCGAAATGGTGAACGAGGAATTTAGAACAATCATGTTTTTCCAATTCTATACAAGTCTGTGTATGATCTGTTTCAACCTTTATCAAATAACACAAATGGAAATGGATTCGAACATCATAGGAAGGATCCTCTTTATGAACTTCTCGTTGATGCAGATATTTTACTACTGTTGGTTCGGGAATGAAGTCAAGCTTAAGGTTCAACATTACGACGAAGAATGTAATAAAACCTTAAGGTTGGATTTCCTGTACGCATCACACGTATACGTTTGGATATGATTTTCTTTTAAGTGAATAGCGTTCATATAGAGACTTCACATTTCCTGCCAGTATGAAATGCTTGTATCATAATTAGACTAAGGATATTTATGCAATTATGAGAAATTTAAAGGTCCATCAATGCATAGAAAGCGCTTAACGTGAAAAGAAATAGGCAAATATATAAAAATATTGTAATATTACAATTTTTCGTAGGTGAAACAACTATGCTGAGGCTCTACTTCTCCAATTGTATGCACAAGAATATGAATTTACATAAATATCCGCAGTCCATTGACAGGAAATCCCACCTTCTGGAAATTTTACAACTAATTGAGTAAAATGATATAATTTTCCGTGCAGAGTTTGGAACTTTCTGATGTGATATTCAGAAGCGACTGGACATCGTTAAATAACAACGTTAAGAGAGCTTTTTTGATGTTAATGAGGCGCGCTATGAGACCTATCGAATTTACCAGTATTTACGTCATCTCCGTCAACCTTGAGTCCTTCATGACAGTCAGTTTCGCCTAAACCTTTTTTCCTTTATATTTGTAGGTAAAAAATTATGGAAAACATTTATGTTGTAGCTACTGAAGACTTCTTACTCCGTGTTCAGTGTGTTCCAACAGAGCCAGGAATCGTGAAAACAAAGGATAATTTCTTAACATAGAACCGTCTTTCTTCGATTCTTCCGAATAGAGTAATAACTGTTCACTTAGAGAAAGGAAAAGAAAAAAACAAATCTTTCAAAACACTGGAAACTTGCACTAGAGTATCCGAAGTGCATTCCAATAAATTATATGAAACTTGAATAACACATATGTACATGCTTGAATCACTTGCCCTTAGCGACACATTTCACTTGTGTTCCTCTTCTTCCGTCAATGAAACTATTCAAAACAAAGTATATCGGTAAACCGCGACCTTCTTTCTCTTGCGACCGACGAAAGCAGACTGATGGTGCTGCGTGTTCTACAGTTTACTTCTTATTAATTTTCCCCTCGTGGAGGGGAGACAGATAATAGCCGATGAATCATTATCCATTTCCACGGCAAATTCGACCATTTCTTCGTTTATCGACGCCGTATTTTACCCTCGATCGATTAAATGGAACTCTGTGACTTCGGGGAAGTGAAAAAAGATACCAATAGTTTTTTTTTAGCCTATTTTTTAGCCAATCATATCGTCTGCGATCAGCTATGAAACTTTAAAGAAATTTTGCTCTTGAAAGCTTCTACTGGGAAATAGTTATGTTTTTCATATTCGAACAACTAAAGGGGATGTGTGAAATGTAATAATAATAGGAATGTATCGAAAGGCAGAAAAAGATCGATGAGGAGAAAAACTAATTAGATGTTTTACGTTTCGTATATTACAATCTTCAAAGCAAATAGATAGGAAAATGGAATCATGACTGGATATCGTACGACTTATCCTCCCAAAAACTGTACACCATATCCCTAGCGTATCAAACAACTCGTTTATTCATTCACTGATCTCAAGATTGATGATACGAGTTGGCGTGCAATTTGAGATACTTTGTCATCGAACTAAAAATCTATAATTCTCATTGACGGCAGTGAAAAGGTACACCATGTCTAACTAAGAATTCAAGATAAGATGCAATAAAATTATTGAGAATTTAATTGGACATCACCACGAAATTTACGAGTACAAATAAATGTGAATTTTTCGTGGTCAAAAATTTTGAAATTCTTAGTATCGAATTTTCTAATTTATTATTTGATTGGAGATTTGCCGAAACAGTGAACCGACTGTTCCAGTACATGATTTTCTTATAATTCTGTATAAGTTCGATAATACTATGTTTGAGTATCTACAAGCTTTCTACGATAGATCCATTCTCTATGAACTCCGTCTGGAAAAGCTTCTATTTATGCTGTATGCTTATGCAGGTATATTTATACTGTTGGTTTGGGAAAGAGATGACGTTGAAAGTTGCCACTGCTTTTCGTTTCTATTCGATCGCTACATGTATTTTCGAGTACAATAGCACGGAATAGTAGAAACGACGATTTTATTTGAGATTTTTACTCTGTGTCTAATGATAATATTATGGTACGGTGATTAATTAATGTCGCGAGAAGGACAAGAACAGAGTGATTTTTTCTCATTTCTTGCGCTCTCGTGTAGAATGAATTTAATGTTACAAATAAAATTTTTGATCTTACAAGTTATCGGTATTATAATAAAAAACTAAGCACGATTCGTAGTAAAACAAATAACGTTGTATATGTAAATTTTACGAATTAAAAGACAACTGATTATTCCATGTGGTACAAAATTGTAGAATTATAAAAAAGTACTTTGTGACCTGTGACTTGTAACTTACTAACTTATTAATATTAGTAGCTAATATATCATTATGCAAGATGAATTTGATCTCAAATTGTGATACATGTTTTCATTTACGCACAATTGCAAAAGTAATTTTTAGAGCAACAAATTTCGCGATTCTATTTATGATATGGATTGTTCCATACCACCTTCTGACATAATGAAGAATTTATTTTTATAGTAATAATTGACAGATCTGTTAAAATAACAAGTGATCACGTTGTAATTTCATCTTTGTAGTATCGCGGTAAAACTCTTGGAGAAATTCCAATGATCTACAGATGGAAAACAATAAAAGTGCTGACGGGCCAAGAAGTGGGAAATTTCGATGGACAATATGCATGTGGCTTTTTAGGACATTCTATAATTAAAAAAGGTTTACGTGACCATCTTGGGTCAACTGCTGTAAAACACGTGTCTGTTGTAGCAACACTGAAAACTCTGGTATAAGGACAACTTGATGGAGATAGTTATGAGTGAACAACTAGTAAATATTCGGCGGGCATGTAGCTACGCTCGAAAGGGCACAAACTAGTAGTATTGTGTTCGCGAGTTCGAAACCATCCTGGGCATATTTGTGCAGAGGTGGAAACCCGAGTATCTTCTTAGAAGGATAATGTATAACGGGCAAGAGGGCGGGAGAATTCTCTCCCTTGCCTACCATGTTGTACTTACTTTCTATGAGTGCTTGGGAGTAAGTACCCCCAGGTTGCGTCACTCGCGCTGACTACTCTTGTCCCGCCCGTGGGGTTTTAGCCGGTAAAAATCCGGCACCCTGGTCCCGCATCGCGCGATGAGATAAGGTGTCTATGAAGATTTCCCCACGCTAAAAAAAAAAAAAAAAATTTTTTTTTCCTCTCCCAGGAGAACGCGGATGCCTATGAAAGTTCCCTCCACGTAAAAAAAAGTTTTTTTTTTATATCAAACTGTAGTTTTTTTATTTATTTATTTAAATTTTACAATTTGTCCAGTAGGACATTTGGTAAAATATAGCTTAGTGGTATAATAATATAACATGTGGGTGGCTACCCCCAGCGGAGTACCATCTTCGTGTTTCTTAGGTTATATCCTTTGTGATAAAAAAAAAAGTAGTCTATAATTTTGCAGTTGGAGTTTGCAGTGAATTGCGACTAGTTGCGGGTTAAATCGTTACTCATAAGTTGTTGTAAATTGTTAGTTGTAGGTAGTAAGTTGAGTAGTTAAATTTTGTTGTCTTTAGTTGTATCACATTACTGCATTACATTCAGATTAAATAGTTATAATTTTTTGCTTCAATCACAATAAATAAATCTATATAATAAATAAAAATCACTGTAATTCTGATCTCTATATCTTTATAATTTTTTACGTCACATAGTAAAACTTCAATACTTTCGACTATTAAATTATAAAATATTATTGCAGATTCTAACAATTTTGTATTGTATTATAGACCATAAAAATGACATTTATTATGAAACATTTATTTAGATCAATCAGAACGTTAAACGAGCCTGTACACTTGACAATCCTGTTGCAAACTTTTGAAAGCTTTTTGATTCTGTGCCGGAATAGAGGTAGATATTTTAAGCACCGAATTCATAGCGACATTTCTAACAAAGCAGAACGATGTTAGAAAATTTTATTTATTGTTCGTATGAAAACAAAGTGAAGGTAAAAGATCGTTCTTCGAACTTGGGAGAACGATTTAATATATTGATCTACATATATAGCAGACGTGATCTTTCATGTCGACTAGACAAGGTTGCATAAGTGCAACCGAAAAATATTTTTAATCGTAATGAATGTGGCTCTATGGTCCATACATTTAGAGGACACAAACACTATCACGATGAATATCTACGATTAGTAATCTTACGCATATTTACGCCTTTTTTCAAGGTTTGTTACTCGAGCTACCAAGCTAGACGTTTATTATTTCTGACCGTCTGATTGTAGCTAGTTAAAAGCTCCTATTCGGTGTATAAAGTATAACACGCTGCAAAACACTCGAAAATAGTAACGAACAACGAAACAGGCCATGGTCGAATCGTTAAAATCGTTATCGTGTTCTTTTGTTTCAATTCTCTAATGTTCTGACGTATAACATTGTACAATAAAAATACTACTAATATCATAATACTAATATCACTAATATAATCAATGATTTCATATATTAGATGTCGAATTAATGATGTGCTCTATTTAGACAAATTTATCGATTTTGTTTTGCAGTCAGTCCGATTGAAAATGAATCGGCTTTTAGTTTCATTTTTCAATTGAAAATTAATTGCCTCTCGAGATCATCTTATACATCTATGCCATATTTTAAGAATGTCAAGATTAATACTCGATAGCTTTAAAATATACAGTGAAACAATATCTTTATTAGAAATGCACGAAATTGATTTCTACACCTAATAACAGAATCGTTAAAACGTACCTTCAACATTGTTAAGATCATTAAACTAGTCTCCTTGGAAAATTTCGTTTCGCAATTCGAAATCCATCTATAAATATATATATATATATATATATATATATATATATATATATATATATATATATACTAGTACGATGTACGCCATAAATGTATATCTATAAATCGATTCAACGTAGAGGAAGCAAATTAATTGTCTTTACATCTACTAACAGATAAATAACAATATCGACCGATAAAATCTATCTTGAACACCGATAAGATAAATTGAACGGTTTATCATAAACATATTTCGTAATTCGAAATCGATCTGTAAATTGGAAAATCACTGAATCCAGCCAGTGTCTTCCGATTGGAAGGTGAGAGAAATTTTCGAGGAGGCGCGAGCAGAAAATAAACGCGGAGGACCCCACCCCCGTAGAATTTTCTGTGGCGGTCCATTTTTGGGCTCCCCACCTTCGGCTTCGCCTCGATTACAAGCGTCCTCGTCGAGCAAGAAGCTTTACGAAGCACCCTCGGAACACTCGACTCGCGCCACTCTACTCGCTCGGGTTAGGTAAGTGAATTATCACGAAATTCTTCCCCGACCGATCGCTTCTCTTTTTTTATTCTCTTGCTGTTTCTACATTCTCGTTTTCTCGATGCTCGGCTATCTTTTGTTCCATGGATCGGTGATCGTGACGCGAGTGTGAAAGAAAGAAAGGGAGGAAGGATGTGGATGGACGTGTGCGTGAGAACTGGTGCAAAATTCACCAGTGCGAGAAACTTGAGGATGTCGAAGATTTTCATCTTCGACGATGGAACCGTTCGGTGAAAGAAGACTGTATAGTTGGATTAATCGTTGAATTTTTGTTACCACGAAGATTTATTACGCTACTAATGGAGCTGCTTCTTCGACTAACAAGCTTCAAGTTGAAAAACGCACGTAGAAAATACTTGATTTGCAACGAAACAGTGCCAGCCACGGAGAAGGCTGTGGAAGCGAATTAATCCGCTTTGGCTTCGAGGTGCATCCGTCTCGAAAGTTTTTCACAAAAAAACTGCTTTGGCGATGCTTGTAAGTAGCGTTAATCCTAACATAACACTGCTTACCATTAACAAATGTACGTCATGTTAGTACCTCGTTTTACGATACAATTTTTCGTTGGCTATAATCAACGTTAAAATTTCAGATAACGAAAATGTTATAGATGTTAATGAGAAATCTCGAAAAGATGAAATATTGTGGTCCACTTTGTGGCAAAAATAAACCGGTTGCCATCATCGAATCGTTTCGTTTACGTGTGCTATTTTCAACCGCTAACGTTTGCCTAGTGAATTCGACGAATACTACGTATTTTGAAAAGCCCAACTCGATATTAACTATAATCAATCGTTACGATCCAATCATTCATCCTATCTGCATCGATACACCAAATTGTCTACGCGATTAAAGTATATTAGTGGTTTAAATGCTTGCAGGAAGACCGACGGTGTAAGGAACCGGGGCGCTTTTGCAACATATTAACCGCTGCCAATTAACAACAGCTCTGCTAACGCTTCGGGAATTTACTTTTGGATCTAACAAAACGCAATGTCGTAAGTAGCATTCGCATAACGATCTTTCTACACCATTAATCTCCGTAGTCTCGCTTAAACCTTAAAGGCAATCAAAATTCATCCGCTAAACATCTAACAACGCCTGTTTGCTATTAAATAACCCGGCCAATTCGCTGTTGTTATCGACCACCGAGAATGATGGTCAGTGATGTCATTTTGGCACCCATGGGTAACCAAATGCCAAAACTTTCCAGGTGCTATTAATATCCGGAAATAGGGTCGAATGTGGTCATTCAGCTATCGAATAATCGATTTAATGAATTCAAATATTCCCATCCCTTCTGCGATCTTATACCTTGTTTACATTCCAGCGACTACGAAATATATCCATCGTGTAACTTACATGTCCCCGGAATTAATCCACGCTTCGTCGATCGAAGATTGATCGATCGGTTGATCGATATATTCGTCATAGGTTAACAACAATATCACAGATATTGTTGCGATAAGTACACTGCTGACGGTTATGCAAATTCGTATGCTCGTGAACGTAGCTAAAGAAACGGGGCCGAAATGGAGATCAGATTCAGCGTGTTCGGTTTAACACCACCGCGAGTATTTCTACTTTACTTTGTATATTTTATATATCTGTTCATACGAGGTGCATTGTATAAATTCTTTACTCTATTCACAAGTAAAAGGCTAATCGGGTCTTGCTCTCTGTACTTCCAATTGGAGAAATTCGGCATAACGAGTGAAATAAAAAAAAAGAAACATTTCCTATAGCTTGACAAATCCCAAGAACCGAATATGCAGGATCGAACCGCGAGATCGCGAGGTGGCGACGATGATTTCGTAAATGCTATTAATACGCGGCAGTTAGATCGAATGTCGGTCGTCGGTGGCGGCCAAGTAAAGCTCGTTCTTCTGGGTTACGCTCGTGCTTTTTGGACTCCTCGCCTTGCGGCCTCACTAACGTCGGCCGCCGTCCTCTCCTCGTCGTTCCGCGCATATTTATAGAGCCTGCCTATGGATGCTATTTCCGTAGACGCACCGATGTGCCCCGTTCCTCGTCATCGCGAAGCCGGACGGTATCATCTGCCGGATTATGACTCGCAGAACTCCCTACGATCGTGAAAATATGCAAGCCCATCGCCTACTTTATTCGCGGACCCATCCGTTTATTTTCAGGGTTAAAACGATGACGAGTCACAGCCGTGAAACATATGTATACGGTGGATCATCAAAGTATTCGAATTCATGTAGAGACCATGTATGAATATGAAGATCACAGGAGGTAGCGTCGCATTCTTCTTGGTCTTTTGATTTCGATAGCGTCTTACGTCTGGAAAGAGTATTTTCGCATAAAATACGCAATTAAAAGAGCAGAGAATTTGCTAAGTTCAAAGATATATAGCGGAGAAAATGTGATTTATAATTCCTCTTATACTGTTGTCTTCGTATATTGCATATATGTGTCATGCAAAACCTTTCGAAATTTTATTAACGCTGTAACGAGACGCAATTGCCATGATTACGTCGATGTAGCTTGAAACAAAACCGAAAATATATATAGAAATTACAAGATATTTATTTCAAACGTGTATTTCATAGAGTTCATCGAAATATTTAAACGGTCAATTAATTATTATATCGAATGGGCCCATCTTTTGACTCTAATTACGTATTTAAGACTATAAGACGTATATTAATTTTTTATCAAGTGTATGTTCGCAGTGAGTGACTCGTGACTTCTATACAAATCTTCTCCTCGCAAGTGTAAAAGATATATTTCTACGAGACGATTATCGCGTCGTAGAAGAACAAAAGACCCCTTACGACTTATCTGAAATCGATAATCTCGTCTGATTTGTCTGCCAAGACTAAACCCGTTGATATAATTCCACTAACATCGAGAAATCCAAGTTTATGCTGTTTCATCGAACAGACAAACATCGATTGCCACGTTTCAAGTGTTTCGAAATTTTTAACACCTAATCAGAAAGACCACTAGAAACGATGTTCGACCAATCGTTAAGAGAAAGGATCATGGAAAATTTCAGTGAACTCGATAGTTTCTTGAAGGAAGCCGGCAAAAGAAAAAGGCCGCCACCATGGACGCGATCAAGAAGAAGATGCAAGCGATGAAGCTTGAAAAGGATAATGCGATGGATAAAGCCGATGCCTGCGAAGGACAGGCGAAGGAGGCGAATATGCGCGCGGATAAGGTCAACGAGGAAGTCGGTGAATTACAAAAGAAGCTTACCCAGGTTGAAGCCGACCTTCAAGCCAACAAACAAGCCCTGGATCAGGCCAACAAGGATCTCGAAGAAAAAGAGAAAGCTCTGACTAACGTGAGTAACCTAATGTTTCCGTTAGTCTGTTACGATTAAGGATTTCGCCCTAGTTCTGTCATTGCTCCAGTTTACCTTGGACCAGGTCCAAGTCAATTTTTCGCCGAGAAATTTTATTTATATTTATACCGTAGTTTTATACCTTCGTTTTAAGATCGATGACTCAGTGTGACGCAGTTTTACGCTAGCTATGGTGTCTCGTAACACGAGGGATCATCTGTTTCGCCCTGTGCTCCCCCTTTTTTAAAAGGCCAATGAGTCACGAGAGCTTTCTAATTTCAGGCCGAATCCGAGGTCGCCGCTCTGAACCGAAAAGTACAATTGATTGAGGAGGACTTGGAGAGATCCGAGGAACGATTGAACACTGCCACTGCCAAGTTGGCCGAAGCTTCTCAGGCTGCCGACGAATCTAGCCGGTAAATGTTGAGAAAGTCGATCGTGAAACTGTTGTACGATAGATAGAAACGGAATTATGTTAATGAACGTAATTGCAGTATGTGCAAAGTATTGGAAAACCGCGCGCAACAGGATGAAGAGAGGATGGATCAGCTGACGAATCAACTGAAAGAGGCTCGTCTGCTTGCCGAGGACGCTGATGGGAAATCGGACGAAGTATCGCGAAAGCTGGCCTTTGTTGAAGACGAGTTGGAAGTCGCTGAGGATCGAGTCAAGTCTGGTGAAGCGTAAGTTGCTCCCGAGGAATGTTATTCGTAAATAGATTGCGACTTTCTATGCGTTTACGTAAAACTTAACGATGCAATAGAATCCTTATAACATAGAAAAGTAGGTAAAGTACCAACGACAGAGTGAGTATTTGTATCATAAATTGTAGAAGGTAAAATGAATCTCCATTTTATTCTGTTTACTTACAACAATATGAAAAATTCACAGTCTACTCGTAAATAATTGTTTCTACTTAAAGCATATTATTTACAACGTTACAGCAAGATCATGGAACTTGAAGAGGAACTTAAAGTGGTCGGTAACAGCTTGAAATCTTTGGAAGTATCCGAAGAGAAGGTGAGTTTGTCGATTTTTCATGGTGTTTGGGAACGCATTTCGGATAAACAATTTGACCGACTGGATTCGATTAGGCTAATCAAAGAGTCGAGGAGTTCAAGCGCCAGCTCAAGACCCTAACAGTGAAACTAAAGGAAGCTGAAGCCCGTGCCGAATTTGCTGAGAAAACTGTTAAGAAACTGCAGAAGGAGGTCGACAGGCTCGAAGGTAAAGTCGAAATGACTTCCTTTCGTTCTAACACCATCTTTACTGGATTAACATCGTTTAAGCAGCGTATTTTCTTAAATAAGCAACGAATTTATTTCTTTACAAATATTTACTACTGCGTTGCTGCAGAGTGATCTCAGAGTACTTTGCACCGAATCTAAACGGGTGTCTGACGTAATTTGGCAAATTGACAGCAACGCTTCCGTTATCCAATTCTACTGGAATGCAATCAAAGACTCGTGGCCAATTTGCCAACCTTGAATAACGTCAAACACACTTTAGTACATGCTGCACACGTCGCAAGTCGATTAATTATTACGAATATTTTCAAGTTACGTTGATAAATTTAGTCGAGCCGCGACTTTCCACTGAATATGAATAAGAGAGTGATTTAAAAAAAAATATTCATTTTTACTCGCATAAATTTCTTTATAGTTACAGAGATTACGAAGGTAGTGTTCGTTAATAGATATCCGCGTTAACAAGCGACACTTCATCGTGCAACGCAACTGATTTTCTTTGCAGACATATTGCACCAGCAGAAGGAGAAACGCAAAACGATTTGCGAAGAATTGGACAAGACATTCTCTGAGCTTTCTGGCTACTAAAAAAAAAAAAAAATATCATCCATAGTCGTTTCAAATTTTCTCGTTTATTCCTGTACACGAAACATATTTAGCTATTTCTGTATCGTTATCTTCTCTCTTTCAAAGATACTTTTCCGCTTTAGCTGATTTTTTCTTCTTTTCCGCTGCAATAGCTTCCAAATTTGGGCGTAATTTTTACTTTTTTACGACCGAAAAACCAACAAAGGAGATGTTAAAAGTGCATTCTCCGTCTTTTTTTTTTTTGCCTTTTTTCTTGCGTTCTCACGGTCATGTAAAACCGACAGTATCATTCTTTTTTATCGATCATCGTTCATGTTTAAAGTTCCGTTGGTTCCATTTTATTCTCTTGTGATTTCCCTTCTTTTTTCTTTTTTTGTTTACTGCCCGATCACTGTTTCAATCGTCCGATTTGGGAGCGCTTTGCTTAGTTTTTTTTTTTTTATAAAAACAGATTAATTAGTACTTGTCGTTTACGTTAAGCATTGTCTATTAATATACGCGTACAAGAACACATGAACATACACACACAAGGCACTTAACAGAATAAAATAAAACAAAAAGCTTCGCACGTTTATGTGGGCCGTCGTACGTCAGGTACATTTACCAATCCCTTGTAAAACTGTTTTGTCTTAGACTCCTGCAAAGGTATACTACACCTCACGATACTTACATGCTTCGAGTAAAGTGATAAAGTATTAACCGCTTCGTTTAACATCTCCTATCACACGATGCATTTTGTGTACAATTTCGAATTGTACGAGCACACTGACATACACCACGTTGTACGACATTCCTATATTTTGATCAAGCTATAAGTGTGCTTTTATTCTTTTTCTTTTTTTTTCTTTAGAACGAATGTCGTTGCATCATAACATTTCCATCTAATATAACTTCTTTTTGCGTAGGGGTTAACATACTTTCAATAGCGAACAAACTCTGATGATCTCTATGTTCACATTAATTCCAAACTGTGACTTAGGTTCATTAAAATAAGTAGTGTATCGATCCGTGCTTGACCGGTAAACGAAAGCTCGTTGAACCGAGTTACCCGAAACGTTTCCAATTCTGAACGAAGTGCAACTGTTTACCGGGCAAATGCACAAGAATCAAGTAGAAAGTTCGTAGGATCGTTCTTGATTAGATGTAAAACGACTCGTTAGATGTAAAATGTTACTAAAATCAAAGAAGGAAATATATCAGCAATTCGATTATTTTATCAACTTTTCCAGACGAATTGGGCATCAACAAGGATAGATACAAGTCACTCGCCGACGAGATGGACTCCACGTTCGCCGAATTGGCAGGATACTAAGTTATTTCGATCTTTTGTGCTTCCTACTATAATTACAATGTCATGCGTGGGGATGGAACTGCAATGTTACGCATCAAGGACTCCAAAACGCGACCAATCGTTGCACGATCGGCCAAAAAAGCACTGAGGCTGAGAACAGATCGTCGGAAATCGGATATTATTTGTCTAGTTGTACGACGTTACCGCGACGAAGATGGTCAATGTATGGAGATCCGTAAGGAATTTTACTCTGTTACACTGTTGTACGAAATATTACACCCAATAAACTGCTGTAATGTGGTATCTCGTTACTAATTGCAAGGACTTTTAGTAGATTTCGAATCGGAAAGCTACTTCTATTTTTAGCAGGATCCGTATCTGTCTCTTTCTCTATTTCTCTATCTCGCTCGCTATACGGAAAGTTTTATTAAAAGTATCGTCGTCGTCTTGCAACAAGGAGAGGTGAGTATACAAAAATTTAATGATTATCAACTACATGGAAATAAAAAGAGATTTCTCGTTCATGTGTATACGTTGGGAATATACCTGTCGGATTTCCTTCTTTCTAGTTTGAAAATTATCGTGACATATTTTTATAGAGGCACAGTTATATAAGATGTTTATTAGTCATCAATGTACTTATTAAATGTACAATGAACGCATAAATGTACACCGAATGGCATATCAATTCTGGAGTGCTGTCTTGTACTATATCCTCGAAAGTCATGATTAATCATACACACATTTGCTTATCTACTATTTACATTTGGTAATTATCTAGAAACGTTGCCTCGCGTAGTTGTGCATAATCTTTATTATTATTATATACAACATTAGTCTATTCCAATGGCCCGCGAATACTCGGGATCACTTTATTTTCACAAATATACACACCTAATTAGACATGTATGACACCACCCACGGAAACATAACACTCAGTCAAAACTCGAGCATGCAACGAACAAAAATATACAAACTCATCTGTAAAACATGAATAATTTCTACAAAACAAGAAAAACATCTAAAAGGCAGGTATTATATAATTGTATATAATGTGTATTAAAAAACTGTAACAATCAAAGACAATGAATATGTTGAGGATACAAAAGTTACGCTAAGATAAACTTTCTGCCACAATTATTCTCGTTGTTGAAACTGCGCATTATTCCGTGATATACTTATCGGCCGAATGATAAAACGATAAAATACAAATGTATCTTGTGACGTTTACTTGATATTAGGACAGTGAAATATTCTTTTTGAAACTTTATTGATACGGGATTGAATAAAACATCTTCTATGGAGAGAAACAACGTTTAAACTCTTAATATTCGGCTAACAAAGGGTAGATTTTATAAAACTTTGTGGTTCGAATGATCAGTTAAAATTATTCAATTAATAACAATGTAAACGATGTACCAATGATCTGAATATAACATCAGAGTATATAGCCATTCTGTTGTTTCTAATAATGCCCCGGTTCTAAAATAATTTCTTTGATTCATAGCATATCATTTGATGAGTATAATTCGAATAAAATAAATAGGACTGTTCAAAAGCATAAAATGCAGTTTAAAATTATAGTGAAATATACGATGTGAAAAAAGAAAAGATACTGTAATTTCATAAGTGATAAATCAGTTCAATTTGCCTAAAGATCATGTTATTGGTCTTATATATTATATTATGTCTTCAATCTCTTTCATCGCAATCACCTTCCTGTAACATTATTATCAATTAATATCAATTAATGTTATTAAAGTTTTGGCAACGCAAATTTGCCCAAACGACTGAGCAAAAACGAACATAGAAAAAAACACTTCGATACGTATGGCGCCAATTAACGTGAATCGAAATAGATTTCCTCGTTTAGTCAACATTCAAGATATTTCTTTCTCTAATACAATAAATAATGCACTACAAAAACTATAAAAACTACCACAGTATTTATCTAATATACAATTTTCGTTACCTAATAATAACATTATAAAAAACATTAGACTATTTGGGCTATCAATTGCACGCAACACCATTCTGTAATGACATGGTAAATACAATGTAATTTATACAGGTGATGCAGAATAACAATATGGTAAAGAAAAGTTTTCCTGATGAATATACAAACATTCACACAGTAGAAATTGGCTATACATATATCGATGTAATTTGCATGATAAAAATCTTAAATAAGATGAAAACACATGACACAGATACGTGCTCCATTCATAAAACAAAATATTGATTTCCACTCGAATTAAATGCAACTCCAATGGATAATAAAACAAACACAAAGATAAAACATTGACGCATAATGAGAACAAATTTATAGCGAAGTTTATAGTCGGGGTGCTTCCAGTTTTTCTTCCTAACGTGACGTATCGATATTATTTATACCTAATTCACTTTAATAATACTTACAAAATTCTTTGTAGAAGTGAATACAAAATAAGATATTGCATAGAATGTACTGCTCAAATATTTCTGATTGAGAAGACCATGACGACTTGTTGAAACAAATCTCATCGTTTCTTCAATGTATTTTACATGATAGCAATATTGATGATAATAATAATAATAAACGAATAATAATAATAATAATAATAATAATAATAATAATAATGGAATATATAAACGAGCATTAATATAAAATATAAATTATCAAATGATTCTTCCACACGTTTCTTACTTTAATTACGTCCCATATGAAAATATCAATAAATATAATGATCACCCTCGGTTCAGATAGATGAACCTACGCTAAATTCTCTGAAAGATATCAAGAATATATCTATGTAGAAGGCAATATGATGCACGAAATCTTTGAACGTTTTCGATTAACATCATTAAAGTCAACATAATCTTTTATATATCTTTACCATACAAGAAATCAAATATATGTTTGTAATGAACATATGTAATATTCATATACATCACATACATTTATATATAATGCATATATATTTTATATATATATATATATATATATATATATATATATATATATATATATGTACGTATTGTATCTACATAAATAAAAATGCACTGCAGATCCTAATGTTCTTGAAAGAAACGATGAATACTCTATATTACACGAAAATACAATATACGATTTTTAATCTATCCTTTCCACAGATTATGTATTATTTATATGTCTATAAAACAATGTAAAAATAACAGGTGCTGGAAATATATAAAAATGTAAGAAAATAAGCTGATCCGGTGAACGATAAAGAAACTAGAATTATAAGCATATAGCTGCGATTCATAAACAGCATTTTCTTTTCCATAGATCAATTATGCACGTTTTCCGGGTTAATGCGATCGAAAGTACTCAGTTGGCATGTTAAGAGGAAAGTATGCAAAATCTGAATCGTATACCCAGGCAGAAGTAGACTCCTCTCTTCTTTATCAAGGACATCGGTATCTACAAAATTTTTCCTGGGGTCTTGTATATTACTTGTTTTTATATATGCATATGTATATATATACATACGTATATATGTATATATATTAGTCTGGAGGAATCTCGTTTATAAGCTCAAATAACTTAATGACTTCATACATAGAATAATAATTTATAATAAAAGGTGTCATGATTTACGCTACAGACGGTCACGATGCAAAAAATTGTTGTAAGCGCTGCACCGTTCTACGATCCAGAGCACACAGATCAAAATCGAATGTCTTTTTTGTAATCTCGTATTGACCGGTTTCTGCGATTACCTGAACAACTCTCTGTAACTCTTGATTATCTTGCAAAGTCATTATCTTTTGTTGCAAGTCTTTTAACTGTGACACATAGTCTTCTGAAAACACGGGTGGCTCTCCTATGTCTGAATCAACCAAAGTACTATTCGTTGAATCAGGGGCCACTTGTTCCGCTTCCGCCTCGACACGCTTCTCGGCGACTTGTTCTATAACACCACGACCATCCTTCGTCTTTATATGAACCGTTTCTTGATCCACCACAACTGGTGATTGACTCGAAGAAACGGGCTCCAAAGGAGGTGATGTCGAATGACCTCTATCCTTTTCTCTTTTAACCACATGGTCGTCATCGCCTTTACTATCACTCCGTCGTTTCCTTCTACGGATTTCTTTTTCCTCCCCTTTACTCCCTTTAGATCTGTCCCTTTTGTTTCGGTCTACCTTATCCTTTTTAATGTCTGTAGAAATTGCAGGTGAAAGTGGTTTCGTCAGTTCCGCCGGCGGTGTAGACACCGTTAAATTTTCTACTTCTTTCTTAACCATAGGCACTAATTTTGATTCAGGGAAGGAATCGTCATCTATGGATGGCGCTGAATCGCTACTATCTCTTTCTGGCATTTCCAGTACTGAAAGGGGATTGGTTACTGGAACATTAGGCACATTATTTTGTTTCTCTGTTGAGGACTTTATCCTGTCGCGTTTTTCTTTCTTGTCTCTATCTTTGCTACTATCCCGTTTATCCTTTTTATCCCTTTTTTTATGCTTGTGCTTCTGCTTGTCTTTTTCATTTTTATTATCTTTCGCCTTCTCAGACTTCTCGATCTTTTCAGATCTTTCTGTCTTCGATAATTTCTCATCTTTTGGTTTCTCACTCTCCTTCGGAGGTTTCGGCGACTTTCTCCCCTCTTTGGCCGATTTGTACTCTTGACTCTTCTCTTTCTCGGATTTCTCGGATTTCTCTGATTTATTTTTCTTCTCGGCTACTTTCATAGATTCCTTTGAGGAAGGCCGTTCTCCTTCCTTATACTTATCCTTTCGTTCTTTATCCCGATCTTCTTTATGCTTTTTCTTGTCCTTTTTCTTTTCACCCTTAGACGCATCGACAACATTTTTAGAACTATCTTTTACTTTATCTTTTTCTTTATTCTTATCTTTCTCTTTTTCAAAAGTTACCTTTTTCACTTCCTTTTCCTTTGATTTTGGGGAAATTGACCTCTTTGCAGGAGGCAGAGACGGGCTACAAGCTCTTTTTATTCCAGCTGATGGAGGTGATGGTGGCCTTTTATTAGGAGGACTAGGATGATTCTTATTTCCAGGACTAGCAGACCTTTTTAATTTCTCCTTACTTCGATTTTTATCTTTAGGTTGCTCTTTGATCCTTCTGTCCTTTTTATCCTCCATTTTGTCCTTTTTAGGATCTTTATGTGGACTATCCTTAGATTTTGTTTTGTCTACTTTATCAGACTTCTCTGTGGTAATTAATGATTTAGAAGCCGAGGATTTGTCTTGTGGTGTAGACTTTTTAGTGTCCTGAGATACTTTTGTAGGTTTCAGAGGTGTACCGAATAATTCAGCAAAAGAACTTGAAGTTTTTGACTCTATATTTTTGTGCTTCTTCGACTCACTCCCACTCAACTTTGGTTTACCAACCATAGTTAATGCTTTAGATTCGTTCTTTTCAACTGAATTATCAGAACTGGACACAAGAACCTAAACATATAATATTTAATTTAATATTATAATTTATATAGAAAAATATAGAATTTATATAGAAAGATAAGAACCTATATAAATAGGATTAGATATACTCACACCACCACCTTTCAATAGTTTCCTCCTAAAGTCATCTGAAGGATTATTAATTATTTCAGTATGTCTTATGACATTTGTAATTGCAGGACCACTAAATTGTAAGTTAAGGTCATATAAAATCTCTATCTTTTTGCTACCTTCATCCTTATTTTTTAAATAAATGTGAATTGGAATCTCAAAACCAGCATATCCAGACTCTTTTAACACAAATGGTGGATCTTTTAAGATCCTCTTTGGTTTTGAGAATGTTTGATGTAATTGAAAAACCACTGGAATACAAACCAAAATAAGTCGGAGGATTTGTATCTATGGATGCATGGTATTTCCTTAAAAGTATATTTACCTTTCTCAACATAGTGGTGAATATCAGCATTATCAATACCCCGCACAAATAATTCCCAATCATGAGTATAGCCCTGAGGGGTAGTACGCATACGTAACATTGATGAGTGTCCACATTCTAGTGTAATGCGAATTGCCATTCTCTCATATGAATTTTTTGATACACGCTTTTTCAAAGAAAAACAGAGAGAGCTAATTATGCGGGTAAACACAGCAATTACGTTACATTTTTATTTATCTCGTTACACGTGAATGAAAACTCTGATGAATTCTTAACTATCTGATCCTTTACAAACTATTTGTGACGTTGAAAATCATTGTCCAACAATTTATGCTAAATGCGAAAACAATGACAACACTTCTTTCCTAACTTTCGTATACTTGAAATACTGATACATCGTTTGCTTACACTTGTTTTGTATGAAAATGTTGAACACCTCATTAGAGCAGAATATTGTGATAACCGAGGAGTTTGATGGAGGCAAATCGCCTCGTTAGTATTACGATAATTCAGAAATTTCCTTTAAGCCAAATGTGATTCGATTATCAACAGGTAAACTCTACACCAACGAGAACTAGTCGCCATATTTGTTACTGCGTACACTAGACTTAAAAATGCACGACTGTACTGCCATCTATAGGAAAACGCTATTGTCTGCCGAGGTATGTTCTAATATCAATCCTTGCTTTTGTACAATTTTGTTCAATCCTTGATTGAACAGATGATACGTTGTTTATTATTAGAATATACTATTCTAACCTAAAAGCATTACTTATTGGTTGATGCAAATTGCTCTTCTGCAATGTAAATTGTTGAGACATTAAGTACTAACCAGCAGTGTAGTATTTTAAGCAGAATTTACAATAACTTTGTTATTTGAATTAATAGATTAAAATGTACCTCTCTAAAAATGAATAAATATGTTAATATAGATAGTCATTAATCGTGAGTAAATTTTCCATAAACAGTAGATATCATATTTGAAAAAAATAAATCGAGTGGTATTACTTATAGGTTTTTAAAAACAAAGGAACCTAGCATTTGCAGTAACCCACTGGAACCTTAGTAATACAACTGATTAGTAATAAAGATGTTATCTGCTATTGTAAAAGAGCACCAAAGCAAACAAGCAGCAAGAAAGGAAAGACAAGGTAAAAGTAATAAACATACTTTTGATCTTCTATAAATTGACTATACTTACGAATAACTATATAGAATATTGTTACAACAGAGCAAAAGAGGAAAGAAGCTGTGCAAGCTGCAAGTAACTTGACACAAGCTTTAGTTGACCATTTAAATGTTGGGTAAGTTTTTGATGTCCTTTGACGAGAAACAATTACAATGTAATTGTTTTTTAAAGGAATATTTGATCATGTAGAGTGGCACAAGCATATCTCAATCAGAAGAAACTCGATGCGGAAGCAAAACAATTACAACATAGCGCAACAAATTTTGCAAAACAAACACAGTCATGGTTGAATTTAGTAGAAGCTTTCTCCAGTGCATTAAAAGAAATTGGTGATGCTGAGAATTGGGCACGCAGCATTGAAGGAGATATGAGAACTATAGCAACTGCTTTGGAATATTCTTATAAAGGTAAACAACCAATGCAATCGTTTGTACTAATTACATTTTATGCATATAACATAGAATTAATTATAAAAATATGTATAAAAATATAATTAATGCATTTATTTCAGCAACCCAAGAAGTACAAGGGACCAGTACTACTTAAAAGCTTAAAAATATATATTACATTATATTAAAAGAACTTAAGAATAAGTGTTATTAAATGTCATTATAGATTTTATCTTGTTTTTTGTTTGTATTACTATGTTTTAAAATAAATCTCATCATTTTTTCTTCTGTTAAGAATTTATTTATTTCGTTGATTTTATCGAAGTTTGTTATTATTAATAACAACATTTTTGTAAACTATCCAGTGATATAGATTAATAACATTTTTGAATATCAATCTTATCATGGTAGCCGAACAAGTTCAGACCACTAGTATAATAATTGGCAATCATGGCGGCCGGTCCTATTGCTGAACGTAATCAAGGTACGTGTCTATTTAAAATATTTAGATAAATATATATATTATAATATTTTGATTTTTCTTCTTATTGAAATCCTAATTGCAATTATGGAACGAATCTTGTATAATATATTAAAACTAAAAATATTGTGTTGTGTTAGGTTATGTGTACGTAAACACAATTTATAGGTTAACAATTTTATATATATATATATAGTAATTTTTTATAGTGCAAATAAAATATTTTATATCTTTTAGATGCCACAATATATGTCGGTGGATTGGATGATAAGGTCACGGAATCCCTTATGTGGGAACTGTTCGTCCAATCAGGACCAGTGGGTATGTAACAATATTATTATATCTGCTTTAAAATTTTTTTTTAAAGTAATTGAATTTCCTTGAAAATATTTTCAGTCAACGTGCATATGCCTAAAGATAGAGTAACACAAATGCATCAGGGCTATGGGTTTGTAGAATTTATGGGAGAAGAAGATGCTGACTATGCTATTAAGATAATGAACATGATAAAATTATATGGAAAGCCAATAAGAGTAAATAAAGCAAGTGCTCATCAGAAGAACCTAGATGTTGGTGCTAATATCTTTATTGGAAATCTTGATCCAGAAGTAGATGAGAAACTATTATACGACACCTTCAGTGCATTTGGAGTAATTCTTCAGACGCCAAAAGTAATGCATGCTGCTAACAAACAATAATTAATAATAAGTGTTTACAAAATATATAACATGTTTTTATATTTCAGATAATGAGAGATCCTGAAACAGGAAACTCCAAGGGCTTTGCATTCATAAACTTTGCTTCCTTCGATGCCTCCGATGCAAGTATAGAAGCAATGAACGGTCAGTACTTATGCAACAGACCGATTTCCGTATCATACGCTTTCAAACGCGACGCGAAAGGAGAAAGACATGGTAGTGCTGCTGAACGATTGTTAGCTGCTCAAAACCCGCTAAGTCAAGCAGACAGGCCTCATCAATTATTTGCCGATGCTCCTCCTTTGGCACCACCTCCGATTCCAAATTCCAATGCAGCGACTCACCAAGCTACTCATCATCCTCAACATCATGTGATGCATCATGGAATGGTTGTACCACCACCTCCACCTCCGTCAACACCAGGACCTCCAATGGGTCACCCACCACCACCACCTGTTCCACCGCCGCCATCGAGTGGCTTTCCTCCAGCAAGTATTCCTCCGCCTCCTTTACCTCCGATGTCAATGGCCACACATCCTCCTTTACCGCCTGGAATGCCACCTCCATTGCCACCTATGCCCGTTTCAACGTCTCAATCGCAACAGACGACACCTAGAATGATGGCACCACCACCTCCTCATTGGGGAGTGAGTGGGCCACCTCAAGGTCAATTTCCACCTCCTCCGCCTCCCTCATCTACTGGAGCACCTCCACCTCCGCAATTTGGACAGTTTCAACCACCACCACCGCGACCTCCTCCAACATGGAGGCATCCACCGCCTCCTCCTGTATCTCAGGGTGGACCACCGCCGCCACCACCTCCACAATTTCGACCACCCTTCCCACCAAGAGGTCCACCTCCACCTCCACCACCTCACGATTCCAGTCAATATTAGATTGTCTCTTCATCTTTATGATATCGTCATTATTTAATAACATAATGTAAAAATTTGACTGTATTCAAGACATTCAAATACATTATTGTTGCGCAAATCTGTATTTGATAATATAATGTCTGAATAAATTTCATTAGTTTCAAGCCGTGAGTTTCTTTCAATTCCTCGTTCTTAAACGGCGAGGGAACCATAGATTGTGAAAATTATGACAAATCGTTCACAGTTTCTTCTTAACGATTACAAACGCGGTCATTTTAATGTATCGATTAGAAGTCGCGTGTGAATAAGGACATGCCAAGCTCGTTCTATCGATTATTGCAAGCTTGTCCAGTCCAGATAGTGATAACACTGAACGGACAAATGAGTGGCAGAGCAGTTGTCTTCGGGTATGTCACCGCGTTGAAAGGATTCGCGTACGAAATCGGACGAAAAATAAAAAAAAAACGAATGAACGCGAAGGAATCGTAAGCTTGTCGCGTGTCATCAACCGAGTAAGTAAGGGGAACAGGTGTCTGGAGTGGTAAATTAAGCGGCGCCGACGGCGCTATGCATTCTGAAAATAACGCGATTTTTTTTAGATCTCTCGTGACTCGATGTAGTTTCATCGATCCGTACGACGCCTCGCTTGTCCATTACTTTCGAATAAAGTTAAAACGCTCCCAATATATACTAGATATAGTTTGATATAATTGTTCGACGACCGAAAGGAAGAAATCATGTTCAACTTATGATATGGCTCGCCTTTACTACGAGTGTAACGCGGATCTAAGAAACAATACGGAAGATAGCGAAACGAACAAACCATACGCGTGTACACCGGATAAATATTGCTTGTATTGCTGTTGCAACTCGCAGTGTTGTCTGCTGGTGCAAAGACGGCCACCACGACACTTCTGGGAAGCCTGGTACTTTTGGCTAGGCGTTGCTTTACTCGCTGTTTTTATCATATCTTCGGTAAGTGATCCTCGATGATCTCTGATCTTAGGAACGTTCGCTTTATTGAAATTTCTAGAAATTTATTACGTAAACGAAACGAAACCTAAGAAATTGTATTTTCCATATCTGTGTTTGTCGTTTCATTATCAATCATCGATATCGTGTTCCCTTAGAATCGATGTGGCGCGTTCGTTTAATTTCCTTAACGATCGCCGATTACTCCAAGGAATATTTTGATTCCCCCTTTTTTTTTTTTTTTTTTGAAACTAGGTGAGCAGTTACATAGTCAGTAATTGCAGACATAATATTCAAGGTGTACAACTAAGACACAGCACGCACGGCAATCGACGAAACGATCGCGACAATCGTCCGAGTAACAACCAGAATGAGATATCCATAAGCATAATCCCGACGTCGGAATTTTTTCCATCGCACAGGAAGATGTTCGTGATTGCTTCTCAACCGGCCGTGAATCACCTGAGTAAGTAAAAATATTGCTCGTATACCTATAGAACTGCACCGTAAAACTCGGAGCATACTCTTCGTATGTTTAAACTTTCACGTCTGACCAGAACGCAATCACGTACGGACACATCTTTGCACTGCATAATTACGTACGATAAAGTAAAGACGATGTTAGCGTGGACGCGTTGCGTATCGAGCAATTAAGTTACAGAAGAGTGGTTGAAGCGGCTCGAACGGATGTTATAGAAGGACGAGTTCCAATGTAAAAAGTTTCGCAACACCGATGAAAGGGGGACAATCGCTTTAAATCTCTCCGAGATTCGATTAAAAGTTGGGGATGGCGCGGCGATCAGGAATAATTCGTGCAATTTCGAGCAATAATAATCTTGTGCATGCATTGATTTATATTGCAGCTCCTGTCGTTGCGTGAAGTCGTTTTGTTTTAACGGAGCGATTATGCCAGCGAAAGGAAGCCGACGCGAAGAGTTGGAAGATCATCCCATGGCATTTTACACGGTAATACCTCTTAAAAGACAGCGCGTCGCATCGAGAGCTTTGATCGGCCGGAACATCGCGGCCACGTCATTATGTCGCGAGGAACATTTACGATAAATGCGTCTTTTTACTTAGCCTCGGGATGTAATAACTGGTAGCGGTTCAAAACACTCTGATCGCAAACGACATTTTGAACAAATGAGAAACGATGTTACCGAAGAATACAGTCTTCTTAATGGCCAATTTGACACTGAAGCTACTTAGGCCGCGATCCGACTCCTCCTTTGGTTCATAATTTGCCACACGCGATGTATCCTATTAAACATGAAAACTTCCGATGTATCGTTTGCGATTAAGCGATTCGTCGTTTTCCAATTTAACGCGGGACGCGATAAAAACAAAGAACAACGTAAAATTATAGGTTTGACGATGCTTTATAACGCGTAGAATCGAAAACAACCGGTATAGTAGGATTTACTAAAAGATCGGGAAACGATGATTTACGATAATGTGTCTGGAATACAAATCGTAGATCGGCATTGATTAGGATCGTTGGATCGTTTTAGCGCTTCTGAACATCGGTCGAGCATTTAGAATTTCTTAGCCGAGGCCTCGCTTCCATTTGGCTGAGCACAGTGCAACCAGCCCGATCGAAACTCGTTCTAGAGGACTCGAATGGGCGTAACTCCCATTAACAATTAAGAAGACACGCTGCAACTTGGTCGACGTACCTGACTGGACGTACCAAGAGATCGGGGGCTAATTAAAAAGGACAATCGGGCGAATGCAACTCAAGGCGACGTGTACTCTCTATCTTTTCGCGCATCTCTCTTAATCTTTCTTGCTCCCTCTTTCCTCTTTTTTCGCATCTTTCTCTTTATCTGTTCAATTCCTCGTCTTCCTTTTCCCTGCGACTCGTTCCTACCGCTTCTCTGTTTCCAGATCGATCCCGCGATAGCGGTTAATCGCGATAATCTTCGCAGAAGAGAGGAATTACGAAAAACTTTGGCGTTTTATCGAACCCCGACAGCAAACACGCGGCAAACACATGCGCATTTCAGAATGATAAAACCAAGATGTGTACTTTTCATCTATTCCCATTGCGATTTCTAAGGTATTCGAAGGATTGTACACTGGCGTTCGTAAGTCACGGGATACTCGGAAATTTTTGAACACGAATTTTAATAAAATAAATAAAATCTTTAAAATGCACTATAGTAATTACGATATCTGTTTATGTTTATCGCAAGTGTATCAATTGGCTTATGGATGCGAGCATATAAACCTTCTAAGATCGAGGTGAGATTCGTGCATACTTTGAATTACCTTGAGAAAATGAAAGGATTCGATGCAACTTTTCATTGTCATATTCCATCTGCGTAATGACTGGCTGTGATCATGTCAATTCGAGGCAGCTACGTGGGAGTGAAACGTTTGCTATTCCTTCGTCGGAGCGTTAGTACGTAGAACATGGTTTGTCATGGACGTTTAATACGAAATAATAGCTCGTGTACCGGCGTACACGTATCGATCGCGACGCTTTACACTTCAGCTAAATTAATTAATATGCACCGAAAGAGAAACAGATACACGTTTGACATTTTGCACAAGTGTGATTGTAATTAGCTGCGTAGGATGAGAGTGGAAACTACTGTCTGATATTATCATATAAAAAGTCAATGGCGGTGAAAAATTCTATAAATATACAATTTCGATGTGTTTGCGTTTAAATAATATTCACGACCTTCTTTTCTTTTTTTCATTATTCCACGAATCCCACGCTACAATGCGCTTACTCAAGACATCCATTAATAACGGCGGACCCCAAACATTTACACCTGAGAAACTCCAGTTCTCACGATTGAACCGTTGATTTAATTAAGAGTTAATTAGGCTACCTTCACCGTCGGATCAAAATTTTTTTCCAAACTAAATCCCACCTCGGAAGACATCCTCTGCCTCGAGTTCAACAAAGTAGAAAGACGATAATTCAACCGTAAGAAGAAGATCCAGTTTCAACGAGACACTGCATGTATAAGAGGAATTTAAATTGCTTACTCCTCACCTCGTTGAAATAGGTCTATTCGAACGATCGTCCGAACAGTTCGCGATACATCTCAATAAATTACCCGAGTGAAAGAAATCCTTGTGCTCTCGGTAAATCTTTTTACAGCGAACACTTGATTCGTTCGCGCAATAAGAAGTAGCAACGGAGAGCAGACTGCCGGCGACCTCGTTCGACTGTAACGAAGTGTCATTCCGATAACCCAGGCCCAGCTTTTACTGTCACTCGACGGATGACGATAAAGAAATGTGCAAGCAGCGGGGCTCTGCTTAATGTTGCATGGACAGGAAACCAACCGGGGAATTAAACTCTCGTCTGCTCTGCCGTTGGATGCCAATGACTACGATTAAGATGTTCGAACGACTCTCGATTACGAATCCTGCACCATCGATTTTTACGCGATTTACCCTTTAACGAGAGGTTAAGATGTTTTAATCGTTGTATTTTACGTTTCGAAGAAATAAAGACGAACGTGTGGAATTAAACGAGGAATTTTATTTCGCTTTCCTGTTTCTCTGTTCGTTAATAGGTTTCGTCTCGCGACGAGTATCGATGGAAGTTTCGAAAATTTGTCATTTCGGGAATTCCATTGGATTGAAGCAAAAAACAAATTTAGAATATAGACGAGCAAACCTGATATCCGAACGAATGAATTTGATATTCCTTACGAGCGAACAAACAAGCTTCTATAATATTTATTATAAAATACACGCGTTCTCAATGCGTGTAATAAATACACCAGCGTGTACTATCGGTAGTACGATATTATTCCGTCAATGATTCGTTACATCTGGATGGACGGAAATATATCGTAGCTCAACGAGAGATACGAACGTGCATACGATCTAGACGTTATTGTTCCAATAAATCGGCAGAGTTTAGGAGACTTTTCGAGGCAACTCTAAAAAAAAAAGTCACTGGAATTCTTTCACAGCGAGAACATCACGAGTTTCGAGTTGTATAAACAGAGTGACAAAAAATTATCCACATATTATATTTAAATTAATTTAAAATATCAATCGATAGTGACCAATACGATTGTTAAGCAAGGATCGTCCTCGGCAAGAATTCCTATTCTCAATTGTAATGCGAGATTGGTTGTATACAAAGAGGAGACACGTTCTTCCATCTGGAAAGCGTTTGCGAAACGCGTCCCGTGGCTGCGTAAAAGTGTACGCGAATTTGCGATGTTGCTCCAATAAATCGGCTTTAAAAGAGACCGGAGCCAGTGAAAAGGCCAAGAAAAAGACTTAGCAAAATCCGGTTTAAGTGTGAATAAATTACGTACGCGAAGGGAGCTGGCGGAAATGGTACCGCCTCGCGGTGAGAAAACGCAAAAAGCCATCAAAGAAGTGGTGGCACGGTGGATGGGAAAGACAAAAGCCATTAATCGTTTCTGTACAGTGGCGCTTGTATTTCGATTTCCCTCTGATTTTCCTCTGCTTCACTGGCGTTCTTATTTCAGCAATGTTATCACCAACACTGCGCGATGTGATCTCTAAAATAACAAAGTGGAAAAGAGCTCGACTTCTGCATTTTACGAGACCCAATTCTCGTATCGCGAAAGAAAAGAGGCCGAGTCGTACCGAAGAAGAAATTTCCAAGGAACCGATTATATGTCGCCTTGACGACGAAGCTATGCGAGCGAAGTAATGTCACCGATGACGGAATTAAAATAGATATAGAAGTAAATTCGTGAGGTGGTAGAAGAGTGGCGTGAAGGAGGAAGGACAGAAAAAGAGAGAGAAAGAGAGAGACAGAGATAGAGAGGTGGAAATCGAGAGTAGCCAACGTGTAAAGCAAGAGAAAGAGAAGGATACGAATCTGTGTTCCAGTGGGAGGTACTAAAATTAGAGGAGCCCACGCGGCTAACAGTTTCGTCTTGAAGCTTCCTTCAGACATTTTCAAATAGTCCTTTACGCCGATAACACAACGTGTTTTCGCGACGTCTCGCTGTCAGTCGCGACTCGGCGCCGTGATTCTGCGTTCGATTCGATTGGTTTACGAGTGACTTCCTCGAGAGACACGGTTGCCTCCTTGGAACCCATTCAACGTCCAAGTGACTCGAGATATTCCAACTGGCAGACGCAGACTTTCAATTAATCGTCTTTCTTTTTGTCAACGATAATTACCGTAATCGATGATCCTCGTTGAACGGCGAAAAATGAAAATCAAGGGCGGCTAATTTCCACGCCACTGTTTCTACCGATCCGTTCAGTGGCCTCGAATAATCCCGCGTCAATAAGCAGTCAAGTGCAAATCGGGTTTCTTTCGCCGCTAGCCGCGTTGCCTTTATCGAACATCGTCTCTGCATTTAGCGAAGGCTAGCCCTTCAACATGATAATGTATATTCCTGTCTTCTGCATACGTTTCAAGTGGCTCTCGTGCAGATAGCGAACCGTACCTACTTCGCTGTCTCTTCCCTTATCAATGAAATTGTCCCTGAGGCGTACTCGCGTTCGAGTGATCCTCCCCGACGATACTTTTCATTATCGAGACTTTCGTGATTCTCGGAGTGTTAGATTCTGCCGAGGCTTACGGCATGTATTTCAATCGATCGACTATCGAGCCGCCAATCTGCATATATTTCATCCTGCTATTTCTGATTTTTCTGTCGGGCAACGTTCAACAGATCGAAGGTAAGTTGGCCGGTTTGATCCGATGCATCGGCAATGTCGCTATCGATTTTTTATGCGTCGTAATCGTGCTAATGCACGATACGTTTAACATACATGTACTATCGTAGTACTTATCGGCGCGCATATCTATAATGAGCCCGTAAAAAAAAAAAAAAAAAAAAAA